TATAGATCGGTCGAAAACGGCAATCCAAGGCGGTCATACTCCCATGTTATCTCAATGGGGCGGCTCACAACCTGTCGCAGCAGAGTGAGCTTCGAAGTTGTAGCGATCTTGCTGTCCAGTAGCGTTTCCAGCCTCCTACTGAATGTAAGCTTGGTGTGCCTATGGTGAAGATCGTACCCACATTGCCTCCGCTATAATATCACCCTTAGTGTCGATCGGCGATGCAGTCATTCCAAAGATTCTTGGGCGATTGGTGACGGGTGTTTTGAGGTATGAATCTCTGATAATGCTGCTGGATAGTCAGACCATAATGCTGCTCATACGATCCCGATCATACTAACCGCGCGTATGCATGTTCCTTTTTCGTATGATGTGCTTCATCGAAAACAAGCAGGTTGATCTGCTCCATTTTGATAAATGCATTCAGTAGACACTGGTTCAATATCTCCGCGGTACAGACTATCACCATATTGTTCTTGAAATGCTCACGCCAGGTTTGCTCATTCCAATGGTCAGTGCCCATGGCCCCATAGAAATGTGCAACCGGTTGATCTAGATTATTGCGCAACACTGTGGCTTGCTGGAACGCAAGTGTGACACTATCAACCTAGCACAACATCAGCTGCAGCCAGTGGGGTATTGTAGTGTATTTACCAAAAAGAAGGAGATTCGATGAGTTCTTCCATCAGCTCGATCGATTAGTTCGTTATGCATAATGTGCTTGATCAACAAGACTGCGATCAGCGTCTTTCCCGACCCTACAGCTCTATTAGTTATTGAGATGTAGATGGACCACGTTATGACTTCGTACCTGTATCAAGGACGGCTATGGTATTCTGTGCCTTGGCTTTTTCAAAAAGCTCCATCTGGTACTCTCTCGGATCGAGAGCCCCATGGTTAGCTTCTTTGCTTGCGATCAAATCTGTAGTAGAAATTGTAGTCCGCGGGAAATCCGTAGAATTCGATCTGATATTCGTGACGTTCTCGGTAGTAGCTAGTCGGCATAGCCTGCAAATGGATGAGCCATCGTGACACAGAAAGCTGAAGATCTTTAGATACTCACAGTTCTTGAAACTTGGTGTTTTGCTGTCTTCGTCGCTGAACAGCGTCCTTCGGCTGAGGGGGGCCTTCGACTTCTTCCTCGTCTGATTCGGTATTGTCATCTCCATCGCCGTCAGCAAGAGCAGATCTCGACGGTCGCTCAGGGAGTGTTATTGGCGTTGGACCATGAGAAGTCTGGTCCTCTTTGGAGTCGTTCGCTTCAGCGTTCTCTGCTTCAGTGTCCTCTGGCATCGTGATTTCGTCTGCTATCTCTTGGGAATGGTGGCTAAGGGAATAGGAGGGTTGGAAGTGTTTGTTCAGCTTAAATAGAGAGATGGAAACCGAAGTTGAGGGGATGGAAAGAAGACTTGAAGTGAGAGTGGGGATGAAGTGAGTGAAGTAAAGTGCGAGGAACAAACAGGTAGGTCAGTGTCTGCAGTATATCCTTATCATTTACTTCTACCACAAGCAAACGGGTGGACAAATTACAGCATTATATATATCTAATAGTAGTGAGACATAATTCTGCCTCCCTTGTATTATATACTGTCATGTCTAGAAGCCCAAATATATTCAATTAAAAACATTCAAATAAGACCATTGGGAAACAAAATAATAACGACCCTCCATAGTACTTCCAAGATATGTTCCTGTAAACAATCCTCCAGCCAAGGCGGGGCTGGTTGGCCCCAGCTCCCGGGCTCCGCGGGGCGGATCCAGCTATGATTTCTGCATCAGCTCGATCGGCACCGCGTCCCCCACGAGTACTTGTCCTTGCATCTACCATCATTCCTCGTCTATCTCACCCAACCGATAACAATGGAGCAGCCTCAGAGCCTGCGATCGCTCTTTGTCGCTGCGAAAGCAGAGAAGACTGACTTGGAGCACCGTCCGGACTCCAACACAGATGGTTATCGCAATGATGTCAACGAAACAATAGCCAAGTTCAAAGAGTGCCAGCGACAAGTTGAGATGCTGTCGCTATTCAGCTCCAACGAACCGCTGGACGATATCGCAACGGGGGACTTACAGTAATTCGACCCATCGTTGGTAGATGTGCCTGTGGCTAACGTCCTTTTCTTTTCGCAGATATCTCACAGTAGAATATCTTCTTGCGGACCTCCTCCAAAGATCCTATAACTCGAACCGCGAAGCTACCCTCATGACTGCTTTGCAAAATTACGAACGATTTCTTAGCCGACTATACCACTACGACATCCTAAATGACAAAGACAAGAAGCTCTACGAGCGATATACGGCCAATCCTCGCTCTTTCACTCTAGTCCTAGCGAACGATGCCGCCGCGCGCAGGGAGACCAAGATAAACAGGTTCCGGGAAGAGAAGGAGCTGAAACAAAAGCTAGAGGTTGGTTGCTTGTTGGATCGCGATTGGAAAGCGAAATTGTCGCTAACATTGTCTAGTATTTATCCGATAATCAAAGCACCCTCCAAAGCGACGACGATGACGTTCGACGGCTCTACCTCGCAGAGATCGATCTATACATCCACCAGACATTCCAGACGCTGGATCTCCTATCCCAAGAACTGACTATGCTGTCGAGCATGCGCAATTTGCCAAAACCCGGAGAACAGCACCAGGACGATTCGCGAAGGCGAAACGAAGAGGGAGAGTCAGCCTATTCCGAGCGGCTGGACCCTCCACTATCACAACTTCTCCAGGGAGGCAAATTCGGGCCGATCTTGAGTAAGGAAGGGAAACCAATGCAGCCGTTCACGTTGCTCGATCGCCGCACACAGCTCCAGCAGGGCGTTTTCCGCTCTGGACACAACCTGCCTACGATGACTATTGACGAGTATCTCGACGAGGAGCACAGGAGAGGAAATGTCATTGAGGGAGGAGGGGAACAATCTGGCATACCGCCTGAGGTTGACGAGGACGATATGGATAAGGCTGACGAGGAGACCATGAAAGCGCGAGACTGGGACGAGTTCACTGAGGCGAACCCCAGAGGGTCTGGGAACACGTTGAATAGGGGTTGACCTGCCTTGTGGTTGTGGAGTCCACTATGTCGATACGGGGAGAATACATTATCTGCCTTCTGGCGCACTTATCATATGATGCGACCGTTCCAATTGGAGGGGTAGATCTGCGACGCTGCATGTGATCATATACCATGTTTCTTTGATCCTATCGCCATTCACCAACACACGATACATAATGTTATGAGTACATAGTATACATGAACACAGATGGAATAAGGGTAATAAATACATCGCCTTTTGGCGCAAACATGTGTCGTTGATTTTGTACGGGGTATCCGTCTAACCATAGCAGTATGAACATATCTTCGCCAGCAGCATGAGGGAAACCTCCCCCTTAAGCCGCTTGCTTATTGTGCTGAATCTCCGCGAGGATTTTTCCTGCGCCCTTCACCACCAACTCGTTGGCCACAGTGACACCAAAGTCTTCCGCAGCCTGTGCGGAATCGATGTGCCCATCAACCTCGACTTCAGCACTTTCCGCACCATTCACGCTGACCACGATGGACCTCATTCGGAGCTTCGACGACCCATCGGCGTCACGAACCCACTCGGACTCCACCCCCAACGGCGCACTGCAACCTCCCTCCAGCTTCCGCAGCAGACTGCGCTCAGCCAAGCAAGCCAGCGTCGTCTCCTGATGACCCACCCCGCTCAACATATTGTGCATGATCTGATCATCCTTGCGGATCTCAATCCCCAGCGCACCCTGCCCGACGGCATACAGCATCCCACCAGTCTTCGACTCCAAATACTGGGAGATGCGATCCCCGAGGTCCAATCTGAGCAAACCCGCAGCGGCCAAGATAATGCAGGTAAACGGGCTATCTTCAGCATCCAGCTTCGCCAACCGCGTGCCGATGTTGCCGCGCACATCGATGACCTTGAGGTGGGGGTATTTCCGCGCCAACTGAGCAGTGCGACGAATAGACGAGGTGCCGACCACCGACCCCGCTGGCATCTCGGCGAAGCTCATATTGGGAAGACCCTTCTTCATGACCAGCACGTCCCGGCTATCTTCTCGTTTCAACATCGGGCCCAGAATACACGAGGGGGGGAGGAGAGTCGGTACATCTATTTATTTCCCACGGTCAGCTGTGTTTCAATCCTCCTATATTCTCAGAGAAAGTATGAAGCCTACCTTTCAGCGAGTGCACAATCAAGTCCACCTCGCCTGCCATCAAAAGCTCCTCCAACTCTTGGGTCCATAAGTTTTTCGTCGTGAATTCGCGCAGCGCGATGACGGTGTTCAGGTCACCGGCCGTCTCGCGCGACAGGATCTTGAATTCGCAATCCGGCCATGCTTCCTTCAAGGCGGCCTGCACCTGGTTTGTTTGGTAGAGCGCAAGCTTCGAACTGCGGGTGCCGATGGTGAAGGTTTTCTGCGAAGCGGGGTTCGCGGCGCTGGAGGTGGGAGGTGGGGCAGATGCCATTTTGGAGAGATAGCGAAGTAGGGGGGAATCGAAAAGCAACAGTCTGTTAAGTTCTGGAATAGACTGGAAGACGTGTATCGAACACAGACGACTTCGAAGCGACTGATTATCTAGAGAGTTATCGATAATGTAAGTTATCTAGTTCAAGTACTCCGAAGTTAGTCCCAGTAGGTTCGGTAATATTACCGCCGAGGTGGGTACGATGCCGGTAATTGCTGGTATTTGCCACTGTTTGCTCGTGTGGCGTATTGTTGCCGGAACAATCACAGGATGGTCCGTTGCAGCGATATGGTCTGACCACTCCATGTGGATATCCAGAACATGAATAAAATAAAATAAAAATAATAATGATTACAGGATATAGATTTCGATTCAGTATTGTTAATCATCTATTTGCTAAATACCTATTCAAAAGAAGTACTTGGGTAGAAATGATCGGGCTGGCCGGACTGACGTACGGCCATGCGAACCTCGGCTACAGCACGGCTTATCTATCAATCGCTCCCCCAGAGTCACGGCCTTCATCTATGGGGTTCTGGAACCTTTTGACTCCTCCTTCTACTTAGTCTTATAAACAACTACCACTACAACTCTCTACAGTCTACCACGTGTGTTTATCCCTGTCGATTGAACATTCCCTACCCCTCCCTTTCTCTTTCCCCTGTCTCTAACCAAATTAACCATTTTGTCGTATCCAGAACCTCTTGTGTTCGGACCTGGCAGACCGACATGGGTTCCAACAACGGGAGAACGACCAAGTTGTCGCTGGTCCCGCTTCCCAAAGGCTCGGTTCTCCTGCCTGGAGTGACGCTTCGGATTCCCGTCTCGAATCGACCGGATCTGGCCAATCTTCTCTCGTCGATCCTCGACCGCACGCCCGTGGGGAGACGCGATGGGAACGTCATCGCATTCGGATGCGTTCCGCTCGGATCCCCGTTCCTGAGCAAGGATGGCCAACATCTGATTGATAATGGGAGCTTGGATGATGCCAAGAAGGAAGACTACGAAGCTATCGATGCTGGTCAGGCGAGGAAGGAGGATCTGTATCAATTTGGCACGGTGGGGAAGGTGATTGGCGTCCAGCGTCGTGCCTATTCGGAGCCGTCGCTGGTGGTTCAGGGTATGCAGCGTTTCACGATCAAGCGTGTGTTGAAGGAGCGGCCGTTCTTTGAGGCAGAGACGCTCGTGCATGATGATCAAGGTACTTCTTGAATGTCCCCCAAGACCCATAGCATCTGCAGCTCACCATGTCCGCGCCTCTGATAGATTCGATCCCGACCGATGCCGAGTCAGCGGAACTCTTCCAGCAATTACGACAGATTTCGCGAGAGCTTCTGACTCTGCTACGCCTCGCTTCCTTGTTGCCGTCTTCAACGACCCGGTTGTCGCCTCTCATCGCCCGTAAATTCGAACTCTTCATCAGCAAGACCGAAGTGTCCCAGGCGGGGCGACTCGCCGATTTCATGGCCGATATCGCGGACACGACCAACGAAGAGAAGCTTCGGATCCTCGCCTCATTGGATATCAAGACCCGGTTGGAGAGAGTGATCGAAGTCCTCACCCGACAAATCCAGAACATCAAGAGCAACGTCAAGGTCACGACCCTGTCGAACAACAACTTTTCTCCCAACTCTACCTTTGATATCAACCAGATGGATCCGCGCGATCGTGAGCTCCTGGCGAGGCGCGCCATGGCCGGTCTGAGCGGGCTGGTTCCTCCTGGATCCGCCGCCGGACGGAACAACGACAACGACGAGAAAGAGACCAACGAAGTTGACGAACTGCAGCAGAGACTCCGGGACGCGGAGCTCACCCCAGAAGCGCGGAAGATCGCTGACAAGGAGCTGCGACGCCTCCGGAAGATGAACCCCGCAAATGCTGAATACGGAGTTTGTCGCACGTATCTGGAGAATATCGCAGACATTCCCTGGGTGAAAGTGACGGAGGATCAGCTCGGCCCTGAGACGCTCAAGAAAGCTAGACACCAGTTGGATGACGACCACTATGGACTCGAAAAGATCAAGAAGCGTCTTCTTGAGTATCTGGCCGTCTTGCGGTTGAAGCAGTCTACGAACCAAGGCGTTGAACGCCAGATTAGTACCCTGACCAAGGAACTCGAATCCTCCGATGGAGGAGATCTGGAGAAGGAGGTCCCGACCCTGTCGGAAGCGGATCGTGTCTCTGTGGAAGCAAAGCTGCATCTTCTGCAGTCGAGACGCTTGACCGACAAGTCACCCATCCTGCTGTTGGTTGGTCCCCCTGGAACCGGTAAGACCAGTCTGGCGCGATCGGTCGCCGCATCTCTTGGTCGCAAATTCCACCGCATCTCTCTGGGCGGTGTTAGAGATGAGGCCGAGATTCGAGGCCATCGGAGAACTTACGTGGCCGCCATGCCGGGGTTGATCGTCAACGGCCTCAAGAAGGTTGGCGTCGCCAACCCGGTGTTCCTCCTCGATGAGATCGACAAGGTTGGCGGTTCCAATTTCCAAGGGGACCCGTCAGCAGCCATGCTGGAGGTCTTGGACCCTGAGCAGAACCACACGTTCTCGGATCACTACATCAACATTCCGCTCGATCTGAGCAAGGTCCTCTTCATCGCCACGGCGAACTCTCTCGACACAATCCCTGCACCGCTGCTCGACCGAATGGAGACCATCTCGTTGGCCGGCTACACGACCGTCGAGAAGCGACACATCGCGAAGAGGCACCTAATCCCGAAGCAGATCCGAACCAACGGGCTCTCGGACGGTCAGGTCACCCTCTCCGACGAAGTCATCGACAAAGTCACCACGTCCTACACCAGAGAATCCGGCGTTCGTAACCTCGAGCGGGAGCTTGGCTCAGTCTGTCGCTACAAGGCCGTCCAGTACGCAGACGCAAATGATCTCGGCCGACCCGAGACTTACAACCCAGTGGTCACCGTCGACGACCTGGAAGAGATCCTGGGGATCGAGCGCTTCGACGAAGAGATCACCGAGAAGCACGGCCGGCCCGGCGTAGTCACAGGTCTCGTCGCATACTCCACCGGCGGCCAAGGCAGCATCCTCTTCATCGAAGTGGCCGACATGCCCGGAAACGGGCGCGTGCAGCTAACCGGCAAGCTGGGCGACGTGCTCAAGGAGAGCGTGGAGGTAGCGCTCACGTGGGTCAAGGCGCACTCGTTCGAGCTGGGCTTGACGTCCGACCCCAACGAGGACATCATGAAGAGCCGCAGCCTGCACGTCCACTGTCCTTCTGGCGCGATCCCCAAAGACGGACCCTCCGCGGGTCTCGCCCACACCATCGGCTTGATCTCCCTGTTCGCAGGCAAGCCCGTCCCACCGAAGCTGGCCATGACCGGCGAAGTGTCCCTGCGCGGCAGGGTCATGCCCGTCGGCGGCATCAAGGAGAAGCTGATCGGGGCGCTGCGCGCCGGCGTCAACACCGTTCTTCTCCCCTACCAGAACCGCAAGGACGTCAAGGATGTGCCCCAGGAAGTCATCGATGGTCTGGAGATCATCTACGTCAAGTAAGTTGTTTCCGGCTCACCGGTACTATCTGGTCTGTTTACTAACGCAATCAATAGACACATCTGGGAAGCCATCCGTCAAGTCTGGCCCGATGCACACTGGCCCGGCCAGCATCACGTCAACTTTGTGGAGAGCCGGCTCTAGTCTTCTCACTTTCCCTGTCGTTTCTGTTTTTTTACCCACCGGTTGTTTATCATTTGTTGTTGTCTCCCCCCTCATTTCCTGTCTATCCTTCTGTATTTATTCTGCGTCGTTGATTGATTAATTGCTTGCTTGATTGATTATTACTACACTACCTCTATTCGATTGCGGGCGCCACTGGGCTACTACCACCTACCACCTGTGCATAGCGTTTATCTTTACCAACATCGCAATACCCCGACTCAACCATTCTCCGCGGTAGATGTCAAAGCAAACTACTTAGACGCAAGCCTAGCCTAGCAATGATTTTCTTTATGTACCTCGTTCAAGGAAGGAGATGAAGATTGAAGAAAAAGAGAATTCTTCAGCAAGAGTAATCAACCCAATATAGTTGAAATTCCTCGTTCATCTATGTAACACAGAATATAATACAGAGACACAAGAGCCGTTTGTCTCAACTCCCTCATTCAACAGGGGACGTAAACCAATTGTATAAAAAAGAAAAGCGAAAAAAAAAAAAGGGAACAAAAAGGAAATGAAATGAAAGAAAACGAAGAACCCGCTTTTCTAGAGACATAGCCCAACACTCCCCCCTCTTTAATAAAAAGGCAGAGTCAGAGAGCGAGGCAAAGACAGAAGAAAGTCATCCCAAACTAGCTACTTCCCAACTCATGACCGTTTCCCGATAGTTGTGCGGTCATAGTTGAGTCCCAGCGCCTGCCAGGTCGGCCTCCAGGCCTTCGATCCCTCGAGTAATTTCTTCGCGTCGGCTTCGTAGTCCTTGCGTGCGTCCTTGTTGGGCTCCATGCCGGCGTCGGGGCGCTGGGAGCGCTGCATATCGCTTTGGTATTTGGAGGTGTTGTGGAATTGTTCTTGTTCCCAGCTGTTGTTGAAAAACGGTTAGTCAAAACAGTCAACCAATAACCATAGCTTGACATATACGAGGCAAAGAGAGAGTGTAAAAGAAGGGGAAAACATACGCAGACATATCCTTCGGCGCCTCAGGCCACACAAACGGCTCCTTCATCTCAACGGTCATCTTCTTCTTCGCCATGGGCCGTCGCAACTTGCCGTATCCGAACTTGCCCGCCGGCCGCAAACGAGTGACCTTCTGCTGCTCGACATAGCTGCGCACGCTGAGGACGCCGACGCCGTAGGCGCGCTGGAGGTAGTCGCGGATGTCGAGCTTGTTGAAGTTTAACGGGACGTAGAAGGAGGCGTAGCGGGGAGGAAGGAAGGGCGTGCGCATCAGGGCGATTGTGAACCTGGGCCTAAAAAGATCAATCAGTTAGACTTTCTGTTCCTAGCCCCAGCTGAACGCCGATAATATCATCCCCAACAAGCGTGTTTTGTCCGAGAAAAAGAGCGGTGGTAACGTACAGGAATACCTGCTTCCGCTCAGCGAGCGGCGCCGAGGGAGCGACCCAGTCGGCGGGCTTTTTAGGGAACTTGGAGAATCGGCGGACCATGTTGCCTGTGTCGTTGTTTGCTTTCTATTTTCCCACCCTAGCGAATGTTCGATTGGGTAATTGGAGTGGTTTGAGAAAGGCGGGGATCTGGTGGACGGAGAGAAGGAAGAGAGATGGATCTTTCGATATGGGTCCGTCTGGGTCAACTCTTGTCTCGGCTGAACTTTCGCGCTTCCGAGTTGCGCTAGTGGCCGCCCCGGCTGCCGTACTGCTTTCGTCTGTCTTTTTGAACCATTTAGTCTGTATATGGGAGATAATGGATTCATTGTATTTAAAGTGTCTTTTGGAGGTTGGAGAATTCATGCAATAAGGCATACATAGGCTTTTTACGAGTTAAATTATGTGTTGTCACCTTTTCATGTTGATGGACATTTACGCCAGTTGACAGTGCAGTATAGATGGCAGGAAAATATACAACTCTCGAGACAAGCTTGGGTATTAGCATTCTCCTTCAACCAGGAAATGTCATGTTCGCTCATTAAAGTCATATCGTCTATTTTGTTTCCCTTTTCCCCACTGCCGTAAGACCTACGCCCCCGAAACATCCGACACTTGAAGTCCCTCCAACTTGCGAGAGCTGGCAGCAACCTCATCAGTCGCATCTGCTGTGTCAGGCGCCTCGCCATCATGGCTCGCGTTCTCGTCCTCTCCTTCCGACCCAGATTCACCCTCCTCGTCACTCCCCTCCCCATTCTGCGAGCCTTCACCTTCGTCGTTGGCACCAACTTCCTTCATGTACGCCTCCAGTTCCTTCGCCATCTTCTTAGAGAACCCGGACGCCTCGACCTCCACATCCAACCGTTTCCCGGGGTTCTTCCGAAGCTGCTTCTTCGCATCGGAGAAGAAAGGTCCCGGCACATCGCTAACAAAGTGGAACTTGCGCTTGAAAAAGCGTTTGATGCAGTTGACATCGCGGTCGAAGTACATCTCCGCGTTGCCGTGGTCGATAGAGATCATTTGCGGGAAATCAATCAGGACAGGCGTCAAGCGGAGGTTCTCGCTGCTTTCACCTTCCGGGGCTTTCCCCTTAGCGTCGGGCTCCTCCTCTTCAATGATAAGGATGTTGAACTCGTTAAAGTCACCGTGAATCAGACCGTATCGCGCAAGTCGTAGAATCATATCCATGAGCTCGGAGTAAAGCTCTGCAGGCCGAGGGACTTCCGAGATCTGGCGCAGCGGGAACGCATCGATCAAACTCATGACGATCGTGTGTCGGTTCTGTGCGATGGGCTCGGGCACCGAGAACCCATTCGCCCGTAGCGCCTTCATAAACGCGAATTCCTTCATGGCCGCCAGTCGCGACATGTACATCCAGGACGCGCTCGATCGGTGTCGTAGGTAATCTCTGTTCGTCTTGACAGTGCGGAAGGATATCCGGCCCAGGCGGTGGATTTTGAGGATCTGCTGTGTTTTTTGGTGACTTGCGACCACGACGATGTCCGACTCCTTGCCCACCCCAATCTGATTGCCGACGGAATAGATGCATTTCTGCTTTTGGTGAGAGTTGAGCGCGAGATAGTCGAGACCGCCGTAGGTGAGTCGGTAGCCGTCATCTAGAACAAAAAGAGGAGAATTAGTGACAAGCGCCAAGAAGAAAAGATATCAACCCCAAAAGAAGTGTGCTGCAGCGTACATTTCGCATTCTTCACCTTCGCGATCAGATTCATCTTCGCCAACGTCGAGATGGCCCTGTGCACGCCACTGCCACCCCGCAGGCCGGAGATCTGCACGATCAACGGTGTCGGTACAACCTCATGGTTTCGACTGCCTTGTTCAACCTAAAATGATGCTCTTGTTAGTCGTTGGACAAAAACGCTGATATCACGTTGATCAGACGGCGCGGGGCGAGACTAACCGCAGTGAGCACGCGGAAATCCTCTGCGGTGAGGTACCGGAGCGCCTTAGCATCGAGCTTCATGATGTTCGATACGCTGTCCGACCGTGGATAATAGAGGGACGGAACTCGAGTATCAGATATGCGAATGTGGTGTAATATAATCCCAACGTCCTGGCGACAACCATGCGATGGGTTGAGATGCGGGAAAAAGTTATGGTTCCCCGCTGCCCTATGCCCTACTTTCCCCTTCGGGATCTTCCCAAGGAACTGAGTAAAACTACATCCATCTATATATTCATCGACTACAGCATACAGAGCCTCTACATTTATGTGAGCCATACAAAAGCCATCCACATGTAAATCATAGACAAATTTGTAGAGCTATATAGTTGTGAATGATTGTTCATGGTATTTTGCGACTCATTCTGCATACAATTAAAGCCAACCATACCAGAGCACTCACGCTGCCCATCCTGCGCTAAATCTAAATCCAACCCATAAGTCTTGACGCAAAAGATCACATCTCACTTATTCCTCAAAGTCAGGGTTCTGTTTCATAGGTCAGCAGTGTTTCGACAGAGTTCAGAGAACTAGGGAGTGCTTACCTTGCGCAAAATTACCAGACCCTCGAGCGTGCTGCTGAGAGGGATGTACTTCTCGTCCTCCAGCTCCGCCCTTTCGCCGTGTGAGAGCAGAACCGGCGTGCTTTGCGTCTGCCATCCCGTGATCGACTTGGGGCGCCCCGCCTGGCCGACAACGTCCACGGCCTGTCCTACCCGGACATTGACGGTCAGCGGCTGGAGGTCTTCATCCAGCGTCACCAAGTAGCGGGGGTACATGGCAGTGATGAGGAAATAGAGGAGATAGTGATGTTCGCCGAGGATGAACTGCTTGGCGTCGATCATGGAGACGAGGACCGTGAGCAGGCCCGCAGCGGACACGCGAGACAAAACCTGGCGGTCGGTGTGGAAGGGGTTCAGCGTCATCGTGCCCTTGCCCATGTGCAGGAGACCCTGGGCGATGCGCACCATGAACAGCGTGTTCTGATCACGGTGATAGTAGCTCGCCAGCTGACGGAGCAATTGTGCGAGACGGGCATTCTTGGTACCGGCACCACACAGACCCATAGCGAAAATGGAGTTGATGGCGACATCGTTGTCGTTGTCGTGACTGTACCGGGACAGTGTATCGTACACCTTCATCTGGGGGTTGCTAGGCGTGATAAGACCCATGGCGAGCGGAACGGCCTTTCGGATGTTGCTGGCGCCGTAATGCATGAGGTGACCAAACTGTCTCAGAATCATGTCTTGACCAACTTCCTCACCCATGGCAATCAGCGACAAGCCGAGAACGGCGTATGACTGGACCAGCTCATCTCCCTTCTTCTCGTCATTCTCCTCGATGATGTCGTTGCAAATGTGAAGGAGTTCTTGCAGCTTGAGCACGGTACCTGTGCCAGCCCAGGCGCAGACAGACGCAAGTACGGATGTGGGCTTGGCCATGGGGTGGTCGACTGCCTTCAGGATGTCGAGAACGACATCAACCTCCTCCTGACGGCCGAAGTAAAGGAGAGCCAGACCAAGGGCCATAAAGCGAGTCCATTTGTCTTTAAGCTGCTTCTGCCGCTCCTCATCCATCAAAGTGGTGGCGATGGCCTCGCTCACCTGGTGGTTCGAAGAGCCGACAAAGATGAGACCCAGGGCGACAGCCGCCATGGCAGACAGCTGCATGTCCAACGACACATCCTCGACAATTGGCAGCAGGACCTCAAGAAGCTCCTCCTTGTTGGAACCAGCATAAGCCAAACCCAAGCCCATGATCGACGCCACCTTCATCGGCACGTTCTTGGCATCCAAGTTGTCCGTGTCGCTGAGAAGGGCCAAAGCAGGGTCCGAGTCTATCCGCACACCAGAGTTAAGGAGACCAATAGCAAGCAGGGCACCGGCTTTGATCTGGTCCTCCGTGGCGTATGTGTACTTGTCGATCTTGTCCAGGCCCACTTCAACGTCCCGGTGCAGAAGCATACCCAAGGACGCCGTTGTCGAGAGCATGCCATCATCCTTGGTTTTCCACACCCATGGACCTTTGTCACCCTCGACCAGCATCATCTTGTCATTCCCGAACCCAGCATTAGCAAACGAGTTGACGAATGCGCTGGCGAGATTGTGCCGCGCCGAGTCGACATTGGTCAGGCCAGCTCCACGGCTGCTCTCGAGATGGGTCTTGTAGATGTCTTCTGGCATCACCGGATCCAGAATGTTCAGCTCCTTTGCGAGGGATTTGAAGTGCTTCGGGACCGAGGTGTTTGTGAGGCACTCCATGAAAGCTTGATCCTCCTCGTCTTCGGGCTGCGGCTCGAGCCAAATTTGCTGCCTGGCGACGAGGAACGCCATCTGCCTCTTGAGCGACTTATCCGACGTAGCGTTCAAATCGTTCTTGATGAGCTCGGTATCGTTCAGGCGGATAGCGAGGACGATCGCCTTGGTGAGTTCGTTGTAACGGACATAAATCTCGTGGGCGGTTCGAAGGAATTGCTGGTCTTCCGGATAGGTGAGAAGGTTAACCATGCTAACCATGTAGAGACAGACCCTCGAGTATGTGTTCTCGTCGAGGAACTGTGTGATCTCATCGATGATCTCCATTTCGCTCAGAAGGTCGACGGCATCAGCTTCGGCATTGTGACTCAGGAAGTACGGGACGAGCGATAACGAGAGGTCAATAAGGTCCTGAACCTCCTTTTCAGCATTCAGCCTATTCTGGTACTCTTGACCGATTTCCAAAGCCAGGTGTCTGATATATTCGTGACCCCATGACCCGAGGTCCTTTTCTGAGCCGGTGAGAAGGCGGTATTTCAGAGTCTCAAGTTTCTCCTCGTCTCCATACGTCATTCCGAGAACCGACAGCATATCAGCCAAGGAGTCCTACATAAATTCCAACCGAGTGATTAGCGCCTGATACTGGCCCTCCCCGAAACGGACAAACCAACCTTGACTGGGCCCGCGGACCAGTTCTCATAAAGTGCTGCGAGATCATCGTAGTGCGGCCTCAGGAACTTAAGGGGTTTCGGCACAGCCGTCATCGAAGAGGTCGAGGTCTTGATAAATGTCTTGATCGCATCCAAGGCAGGGCCGTAAAGCGACGTATCCGGCTCCTATAACAAAGGTGAACGTTAACGTCATCATCCTACTGCTGAGGGCCAAGCTGCCAACTGTACCTTTAACCTTTCCACGAGCATTTCAAGTTCACTCTTCAGCTGCTGATCCTCCTCACTCAACTCCTCTAAATAAAGAACACATTAGCACATCATCGACTTCCGTCAGAGGAGAAGCGGCGTTGGCTTCATCCGCCGCGTGACGTGATCCCAAACAGTCACATACCTTCTTGGGGCTCCCCGTCCTGCTTTTTCTCATTTTCTTTCGGCTTCTCGTCGGTCTTAGTGGTCTTCTTTCCCCCGGACAGGTCTTTCACATCATCAACCTTGCCCTTGCCCTTGTCGGCGGGACCTGACCGCTCGCCTTCTTTCGCCATCACTGACGGATAAGTAGCGAGAAAAGTCTAAAAGTATTCGGGAACGAGGGCCGAAAAGGTAGGATGATGCAAGCAGAGGCAATGGTAAAAACGGATGAATTCAAAAAAGGGGGCCTCTACACACCGAGCGATGGGGCAGAGAAAGAATGACAAGCTTGTTGATGGGAAGCAGACAGCTCTCTCGTCCATCGCCGCTCGGACGTTGGTTGCGCCCTGTGGAGCTTCCGCCGGATTATGTAAGACGACCATGCCAAGCCTTGCGCATCCACGACTTTCTACGTAATCATTCTCTGCCTAAGAATGAAGAAAGCCAATCTACTTCGTGTCAATTCTTATTGTAGAGACTTTAGATCTGGTGTGATAATTATAAGATGACGGCTGCTACTGGTCTGCTTTAACCCACTAATTGGGTTGACTATCAAACAATTATGGTATCTTTCAGTGCTCGCTTGACTTATGATGTCAGCATATTTTTGTCCTCTCATAGAATACAGGGTATAAAGAACGCCCAAGTTTAGTATCACGCAGTAAATCACAACACCGACCCAAGATCCAAATTCCAAACGATGGTACAATCAAGTCTCTATACAAAACAAAGACTCTGGACTGGTCTCGTCTTTTCGAGAATCATCATGACAGTTTCCGTGACTGGCTCGGAATCGTTCTCTATACTCTCCGGCCTGTTGAGCAAGGGCGACAGCAGATGACGCATCGCCACTGTAAGAAACGGTAGGTAAGTCCTCCAGATCGGGCAGTCTCCATGCAAATTGGTCCAAGAGGGGCATCAAGTTTGGGGCCGAACTTGGCGGCTTTTCGGCAGATTCCAAACGGTCCACAAATTCATCGATATGGTCTGATGTCGCAGCCTCTTCACGTTTATCTAAGTCATTCAAGGCAGGTTCCTCCGGGGCGTGACGTAGTTCGCTATGAACTGTTGCTAGAGGGGGATTCCCTCGTAGAGGAAAGGCTGGGTACGCCAAGAAAGCATTTTGGGCACGCATCAACTCCAGCATGTACTCCAGCACGGCGGGGTATTGCTTTGAAATTGTCTCCTCGCTGGATTTTCTGTCCCCAGTAGTAAGACGACGAGACAAAAAGGAATATAGTTCCGTCCATTTGTCACCGAAATACAGTGCGGCATTACTATTGGGAGCCTGCCAGAGAAACATTGGTAGTTCGCCCTCTCCCTTTAGGGCCTTCTCTGGAGGGCTGAATGGCTTGTCCCCAGCCAGCGTGAATGAAGGGAGTTCCAGTGAGATCCCAAAAAGTTCCGGGGTCAGCTTGCTCGTACGAGCAGAGTGTTTGTAGTTCAATGTTAGATACTTCAAGTAATGATAGAAAGAGGGGGCCAGCTCTGTCTGGGGCGCAAGTACAAGCAAGTGAGTCGCGTTAGGGTCCCTGGGATAGAAATTCTCCACGAATCTTGCAGACTCATCAGCGTCACTAAGGGCACCAGAAGGCAAACGGCGGCGAAGAGTGACCTTGCTCGATGTGTGAGGCGGCCAACTCATCCTCTGAAGGAAATGAAGTAGCTGCGGATCCGTATGGTATGGGAGTTCGACTGTCAAACTGGGAACAGTCCCAAGGTAATCTGCCCTTTCCAACGACCGAATCAACCTTATCAAGGAACCAGCGGATTCTGAAGGTGCTTGGACGAGAATTTCAATATGGAAATCATTCCAAGCTATCGAAGATATCAGCGAAGATATTCTAGATGAGATGGGTCTTCTTGGTAAATACCTCGCAGTGCATTGCTGTCCAAAGCAGACATCCACATGATATCTCTCGACTGGGCAGAAAGCGCAATATGCTGGGCCCCATTACGCTGCGCCACTGACTGGACCACCCTGATGAAATTCATTTCTTCCCGTGGTTCCCCTTGTGTGATTAAGGCTTGTGGACGGAGGTAGGCATGAACATAATCTAGACCAGCCACCGCCGCCCTTTCCATCCGGGCCTCAGTTGACCATTGGGCGTAGTCAGGCCGACCATCTACAGTTATCACGTCAGTAGAGAAAAATAGATCATTCAAAGAGTAGTAAGAGGGTGCTGGTATGCTGGAAACTTATATAAGAAACACACGGGGCCATACCATGCCAGACAATGGGACACCCTTTGTCATCAACTCCATTCACACGCTGAATTCCTTCGATTGAGACACCTTCCTTCCCCATCAAGACAAGGTGTACCTCATTCCGTTTATACGAGGCCATCTGACAAGCAAGTGGCAACAGATCCGAGACGCTCTGCAAGCTTGCGCCGGCGAAGACCACGGCATGGCTAGGGCTTGACTTATACTGACTCGGTACCTTTCGAAAGCGTGATAAGGAGGATGTCAGCGAGTAAAGCTTCACGTCGCCATCATAGTATTCATTTTTATTCTCTTGGTCGTTTATCATTGAGTCGTCGCGCGGAGGTGGGCTCTGTGGGGGCATTCCAGGGGATTGCGCCGGGTTTGACCACCCTGCCCCAGCTCTCAGCCGTGCTTCCGTCAATGCTGGATTAAATCGCTGCGTCGCTGGGGGAAGGTCGGTCGGCATATGCTTAAAGAATAAGTACAAAAGATACAACGCCACGACGCCTAGCAGCAAGCGCCGCGGTCGTGGCGATTTCCACTGCCGTGGGCGCCATTGCGGCCGGTCTACCTCCGGTCGGTGATCGTCGTCCTTCTTCCCAAGCTCTTCATCGACCATAAGCGGTCTCCTGGGGGGCGTCATGATATATTAATACAGTGTATAGCTCTGGCAGAGCTGAAAAGGATAGGAAGAGCATTGGTCTACATGAAACGAGGAGATGGAGAAATACGAAAACGGGTTGAAGGAATGCGCGGTCACTGGTTGCGCGCCGATAAGCTGATAAGATTAGATTGCAGGTATGCATAAGTTATGAAGGATAGTGATGGTGATTACCTAGTCAGTATATCTTCTGCCTTCTCCACCGCCTCGTTCCATACTCCATCTCCATCTTCATCTGGAATCAGTTACAGAATTTGGTCCTGGAACACCAAGAATCAGTCAATCTTGACAGAGGGCTAGCCTGATATTAATGCCATCATGTTATATCTCGCCTCATAACGCGTCCACTACCACTATCAACGGCGAATCTTCCCTTTTGGTCATTTAGGGAGGAAATTTGATAGACGAAAGAAATACCCTATCTAATGCGCGAGAACCTCCAAGGATTTCTTCATCATGGATATTGATATTCAAGAACCCCGTGGCACGAAGCGTGCGGCGGAGGACACAGAGGCGATCAACAAACCCAAGCGGATCAAAGTCAGTGCAAACCCCCATCATTACTTTAGATTGTGACTAATAACGGTGCGTAGGCTCTCGATCCAGATGTGGTCAACAAAATCGCAGCTGGGGAGATCATTGTGGCTCCAATGCATGCCCTGAAGGAGCTGATTGAGAACGCTGTTGATGCTGGATCCACTTCCCTTGAAATCCTCGTCAAAGAAGGTGGTTTGAAGCTGCTCCAAATCACAGACAATGGACATGGCATAGATGTAAGACTTGCCTGCATCGTAGCATAATTACGATGAACTCAGCGCTAACCTGGAGATCACAGCGAGATGATCTGCCTATACTGTGTGAAAGGTTCACAACATCCAAATTGAAACAATTCGAAGATCTCACCTCTATCGGCACTTACGGGTTCCGAGGTGAGGCCTTAGCCAGTATCAGTCACATTGCCCATCTCACGGTTACTACCAAAACTGCTGGGTCAAGCTGTGCGTGGAGAGCTCACTATAGTGACGGAAAGCTTGTCCCTGCTAAACCGGGACAAAACGCTGCCCCAAAAGCCACAGCCGGACGTGGGGGCACTCAGATAACTGTAGGTGGCCAAAGGATTCGTCGCCGTTCAATGAGAAAGCTGACATAGCCAGGTCGAGGATTTGTTCTATAATGTTCCGACCAGACGCCGGGCTTTTCGGTCAGCGAGTGAGGAGTACGCGAAAATTCTAGACGTCGTTGGTCGATATGCGGTTCACTGTGCCGGTGTCGCTTTCTCCTGTCGCAAGCACGGCGATGCCGGTGTCAGCATTTCGACACCTTCTGCTGCAAACACAATTGACCGAATCCGTCAAATACATGGGAGTGCGGTAGCAAACGAGCTTATCGAATTCAAAGTAGAGGATAATAAGCTAGCATTCTCATCGAGCGGATATGCCACGAACGCCAACTACCATGTCAAGCGAACAACAATCCTCCTGTTCATCAATCATCGCGCAGTTGAGTCTACCGCCGTAAAGCGAGCAGTTGAACAGACTTATGCAGGATTTCTTCCCAAGGGAGGCCATCCTTTTGTCTACATTGACCTGGAGATCGACCCGCAGCGGGTGGATGTGAATGTACATCCGACCAAACGGGAAGTGAATTTCCTCAACGAAGACGAGATCATTGAATCTATTTGCAGCGAGATCAGGTCAAAGCTTGCACAGGTTGACTCTAGTCGAACCTTCCTGACACAAAGCCTTCTACCAGGAGTGACGTCGATTGACTCTTCAACCACTCGAGACACAGCAGAAGGGGGGGATTACACCCCGAAGACACCTGCAACGTCAAAGAAGCCATACGAGCACAACCTAGTCCGCACAGATTCCAAAGTCCGCAAAATCACATCGATGCTACCACCCGCAATGGATCAAAGCACAGAGGCACAACCCACCTCTTCCACCACCCCGAACGAGGGATTACAGTACGAGACATCAGGCCGCGAACCGCTCCGCATCGCCCTCACATCCGTCAAAAACCTGCGCGCAGAAGTACGCAACTCCATGCACAACGGACTCACAGAATCAATCGCATCACACACATACGTAGGACTAGTCGACGAACAACGCCGGATAGCAGCCATTCAAGCCGGCGTAAAGCTCTACCTCATCGACTACGGCATGTTCTGCAACGAGTTCTTCTACCAAATCGGCCTAACAGATTTCGGCAATTTCGGAACCATCAAGCTCGACCCACCACCCAAACTCATCGACTTGCTCCAAATCGGCGCGGAAGCCGAGCGCGAGATCCAACGAGCCCCTACCCCCGGCACCAGAGCGCAGCAGCAACAGCAGCAGCAGGAAGCCGACGAAATCTTCACCAGCGCAGCCGAAACAGTCGCCACAGCCCTCATCGCCAAACGCGAGATGCTCAACGAGTATTTCTCTCTCCAGATATCCCCAGACGGCGACCTCATCTCAATCCCTCTCCTCCTCAAAGGCTACGTTCCCGCACTAGCCAAACTCCCCCGGTTTCTCCTCCGCCTGGGCCCGTACGTCGACTGGACCAGCGAACAAACATGCTTCCATACCTTCCTCCGCGAGCTAGCCGCCTTCTACACACCGGAACAACTACCCCATTGTCCACCGGTAGAGGCCGCTGACGCCCCCGAAGAGATTGAGAATGGGGAGGACGAATCCACTACACATCGCCGGGCACAGCTGGCTCGGATGCTGGAGCACACGCTCTTCCCTGCAATGCGGGCTCGTCTCGTCGCCACGGCGCGTCTGGTGCGAGGTGTGGTTGAGGTAGCGGACCTAAAGGGTCTTTATCGGGTTTTTGAGCGGTGCTAATTCACAGTGGGCTTCAAGCGTGCGTGATCGGTGGGTCGGTTTCAATCTCTCAACACTAGTATATACAGGCCCTATGATAAAGCGAATCATTTTCGAAGATTTTTATGGTTTTGGACATTCAATTCCATACAGTATTAACACGGAGAAGTAGCACGTGAAAGAACCCAATACAAATCGTATTCCTCGCAAATCAAATCCAGATATCCACGAAAGAGAAAATAAGTAAAGAGAGAGAAAAAATCTCTCTCAAGAAATGCAACGCCAGCCAAGCCGCAGAAAAGCCAGAAAAAAAGAATACTGGCGAATCGTCGCTCATACATAAATCAAACATGTTTCAACATGTTTCAAACGCCAAAGGAAAATGTGACAATGTCCATCTCTCATCCATTCATTCATCCATTCATATCTTCATAGTCAATGTTCAGTATTATAGTCGGCCTGTTTAGTTTAGTTTCCGTCTGTGGGAGTAGGTCAATGGATATGTGCTTTCCGTCGATCGTCGTACACAGATGTACAAGAAGGTCTCCATCGGGGATGCCTTCTGGGAGGGAAGAGAAAGCTTGGTGACTGTCATCGAGTCGCCACGACATCGACGGTCTTCTCTTCGCTATCTTGAGTATGGTTTGTTCATCAGAGCGATCTCACGGGCCACGGTAGACCATTCGAGCTCTCGCCTCAGAGGCTTGTTGTGCTTTTGGATTTGTAACTCCTCCCATTTGAGCAGCTCGTATCTAGGTTGATGTATTAGCCAGGTGCTGTCACGCAATATGGATCCAGGTGGTATCATACACAAATCGCAGGTGGGGTTGGATTATGACATTTAACCTTCGTGCGCGCACAAAACAACTGACAGCCTGTTAGTCGCGTGAACCTTTCTTTTGTTGGAAACATCCGACTCACTATGCTCGCGGGAAAGAGAGCCCCAAAGACTCCATGACTTCAGCGATACAGATAGTTGCCGAGCGGGAGACCCCCACCCGACAGTGGACTAGAGTGGCGGTGCCATCTTCCTTTCCCTTGCCTAAAGAAAATGTGGTCAACGATGGACTTGTAGAACTGCATTGAAGAGGGGAGGGGAGCTCACGAATGAAATTCAGGCATCGATCAAACTCTTTTGTCAACGAGTCGACACCGTTGTCCTGAACTTGAGTGATATGCATCAGGTTCTCCGACCCTAGTTGTTCGGCCTCCACGTGGTGCCACGATACGGATTCGCCAATACTGAGGACACGCTTAATTCCAAGTGCCCGGAGCATGCCTGGGTTGTTCGCATGAGCGAGGTTTCCAAGATACATGTATGGCAAGATGCGGCTCGGGAGAGAGCCGTCGCACCAGCGAAACCATTGGGGATCTGGATGGCAGGTAGGCCTGTGCGAGTGGGTGGCCGGGCTCTCCTGCAGCAACCTTGTCTGCACGCTGCTTAAAAAGGTCACGTCGGACGGATAAGCGAAGAAGTTCCGCTTCTTGTCGCTGTGAAGCCTAAGCCACGCCTCGTGCGCAGGGATGCCTTCTGCGAACATCGCATACGCAATAACGAGCAGCGAACTCTCAGTATATCCATCGGGACAGTGCACCAAAACCTTGCGGGGCTTATTTGAAAGAGGGACCATCTGAATATCCCCATCCGCATCTAGATCCCTCGGGGACCCTGTATCTTCTGGGTTCGCTAGATAATAGATCCACCGCAGCGTGGTCACCAGGTCGTCTAGCTCCCTATTTTCACCGGAGGGTAAGAGGATCGATCCGGATGCTGGGAACTCCAACCGTGTCGGTCCCTTTTCGATCTGTTCGTTGAGCGATGCCAAATAGCGAGGACCAGGCATGCTCGCCAGGTCACTCGCCTCAATCAACAGATCATAGGATTCACCAGCTGCAGGGCCACCCGACCCCATCCTCAGCAGATGATCCGGGGTAGGACCTTGCCAGACATTGGTGGAAATCTCCGATGCCCGGGACATCTCACACATCTCAACCCGTTCCCATTGGACTGACTCTATATTAGCGGGCGCTACCTGATGAAGAAACATATTGGGACCCACAGAAATCGACCACTTGTCCCGTCAGCTGGCCGAGGGAGTTGACAGCCACCAGCTCCGGGGTGTGCTGCTCGATTTTGCAAAATGGTGCTAATCCACGGTTAGCTTCCGATAAGAGAACGGGGACAACGTAGCGATTGCAACTGACTTGAGAGGACAAAGGTATTATACGCCTGCAAGTACTGCTGAGGATCAAATTGGAGCCTCCAGTGCTGCTGCGCCGTCGCAATGCTCCCCGCAACCTCCATAATTTGTCCTTTGTCGCAACCCTCCTCCCCGTACACGACGATGTCCGACAATGGCGCCAGCTTGGCTGTCTGGATCTGAAAATTGCGCACTGAGAACCCCTCCCGAGGATCGGCGGCCAAAAAATCCAGACCCGAGGATGACAGTATTTCCTCCGGGCCCACGGCACCTTTCAGCCTCGCTGTAGCGAGATCGCCGCCCACCTTCACCAATGTAATCCCACGCCAGCATTTCGGAGTGACCCTGAGAGCGCGCTTTCGGTGGGTGAAAAATCCCAGCTGCAGGTGGTTCTCCGGGTGGAGACCGTGCAGCCATGGGAAGACCAGACTGGGATCTGGCAACGGCTGAGACGCACAATGGTTGAGAGCCGCAGATAGAGAGAATGCATCTATGGAATACAACGGAGGCGACTCCGAAATGCGGGAGAACGCATCCGGCGGAGAGAGCAAAGAGGAAGGAGATTGATCACCCAGGTCATCCTGGGTCGTCGAAGGTGTGGCGTCCGGGGATGGGCCCGTGGGGCATACGGGTAGGTGTCTATTCGGGATCGGAGAAGAACTTCGGTTGATTCCCAAGGACGGAGAGATGCCGGTCGGTGGAGGGGAGGGATGGCGCAGCGTTTGCTGCTGCACGACCACTGTAGCCATGTTGTCGGTATCAAAAAGGTATATAAGTCACACCTGTTTCTATACCAAATAGAGTTGCGGTTAAGAGGTAGGTCAATCACGCATTCTTCGGACAACCCGTGAGAAAGTAATAGTATCAATCTGTGCTAGTCGCCACTATCCAGAAGGAACATTGTCAGCTCAACAGACAGTCACGGTATAGTATCGGGAGAGAGATGTAGAGGAACAGGTAAGAAACAGTGCAGGTGTAAGAGCGGAGCCAGCACAAAAAGTGGGGGAGGTGGATGTCGTAACATACGTCACACGTGAAACACCAAACTGGCCCTGGGAGTTCTCCAGTCAGTGGACCGACCCACCAGATATGGGGACAAGAACCGCGAACAACCAGAAATCATCACCCATTCCAAAGAAAGGAGATGAATGGGAAAGAATCAATGACCAAGAGAACAAGAAGGATACCCACAAGATAATCAGAGACCAATATTTTAGAGTATCGCCCTGTCTTGACAATGCGATTGAAGACGCCCCACTGGCTGTTACACTTTAGCTTCCCAAGGACCGTCAATCCCAAATGAATTAATCCTAAAAAGAAGAATAAGGTTCCTGGTAAGTGAATGACCAGTTAGATGAAGAGACAATGAGGAATGATAAGAGTGATCATGAAGAGATTGAAGCAGAGAATGCAGAGGAATGAGATATGAAGAAATGGGAGGTTGTAAGAAGGAACGAAATCCAAACAATACGGGGAGTGGGGAGGGGTGGGTGCCTCACTGCCTTGGTGCCTAGCCCTGCCGTGGCGTCTTGGTCTGTGCAATTGCCGGTCTTCCTTCTTCCACCTTTCATGTGGGATTACAAGTGGGAAGGATGTTGATTCTTTCTTGTTTTCTGACCTGAATGGATTGGATGAATGTCTAACTCAAGGAGATCTTCTAATTCCTCTAATTCCTTCGATCGTCATCATCGTCATCCTCATTTCGGGCACCCTTCGTCGACATCCTGTTCACCACGTTTCCACTGGGAGCTCATCACATACCCAATGACCCCCCCTTGAGATGTTCAACATGCTGGACATGCTGGGCATGGAGGTGGTCCTCGCGAATGATCTTTGTCCGTGCGGACTGCCCCACCCACCCTTCCTCTAGGGCCCCGGTGAATCTTGAACGCCAAACATTCGTGACGAGAGAACGCCCAATAGGAGAATGAGGAGGGGGATGTTTTCTTGGGCTCTGGACCTCCGATAAGGCAACACAACACCTAAGCCTGGCGAGTCAGAGGCTGGAAAGACCATCTAGACCTGGCAAATGGGAGCGTGCACCCGGTAGCAAATGCAGGACCAACCAACCTCAGTGGACATAGCACCAGCCTCGCTATTTGGCACGAGGAATTCCCCGTCTAGCGCCTTCCCCCCTCCCCCCACCACCCCCCATTGTCCCCATCGCAACGGGTTGGGACAAGGATCCGTGGTTCTCTAGTGTCATGCGTCTCCCGCCTCGGGGTCCCCACCGTGATTGCGGGTACCAGTGGTTTGCACGACTGTGGCTTCAACCATTACCAAATATCTACGCTTTCGTCTCTCCGTGCACTGCGAAGTCTTCGGAGTGAGACTGGCCCCGGGGAGTCTTGGCTCTCTTGGGTCAATGGCCTCGATCGCTGATGGCTTGGAATGATGACACTGCTTCCGCTTAATATTATACTTTTCGAATCTCCAAACATCAAACTTGATGTATCAACGTTTATGGGATTAGCTTAATTTGCTCTGGGGATCAAACTTCACTCGCCAGCATATCGCCCGCCCAGTAGAACGAGATCGGCTCCTCCGAAAGCTAAATCGTTCAGGAAAACAGGAAAGAGAATATCATATCAAGAACAGCAATAGAACACAAATTATGCAAGCGGCATTGGGACACCCTTGAGTATGGTGAAACAACAGCAAGGATCGAAGTGTGAGTTGTACAAACACGGCAGAAATAAGGTGCCATCCTTCGGTAATCAGCGTCCTCGGGATAAGCGCACGGAGGATATCGAACAAAAGAAAGAAAAAAGAATCGGAAAGGAGGGAACAAGATCTTTCCTCAGGTCCCAAATAGGTCTATCTTTGAAACTGTTTTGACTCGGCCGCGCTTGCAAACAATTCTGAATTCAACTGATTAGCCCAGGGGCGAAGTCCATATCTCTACAGGGTCAGTTGCATTTGCAGATGCACGATGGGGCCTGATAGACCATTACAAAGTTCGAGGCAAAGCAGGATTACAAGGTGGCGCTACTCAATTAGGTACAGCTTGGGGCCCCTGCGCCCTGCCAACTGATGTTCGGCGGGCATAATCAAGCAGGGATATCCGGTCATACTTCGTACAAGAGGCGTGAACATCTGGCCCCAGTCACCCTTGAGCCTTCTTCAACTCCTGCGCAAGCCTCAGCAGATAAGACTGGGCCATGTCAGTCGAGAGTCACTCGGATATCCTGATCATCTCATGGATATCATTCCGTGATCTCTCATAGGCTTGCAGGTCCCGATTGCCGTAGACATCCCGACCCGCGGCATACCCTTTCTGGATACTGCGAAAGAAACATTGACGGCAATGCTGACCTGGCCTGTGTGTGACGCGTCTGCAGCCACAGTGGTGGGATGAAGAGAACGTCGCCTGAGTGCAAGTGGCCTCCTGTGGGGAAGTATGCGGGGTTGAAGTAACAGATCCATCCTTCTGGAATATGTTAAAGTTCGAGCTTGAGGCCCCAGCCGGAACACTCATGTGTTAAACGTCGCGCGGAGGGTAGAAAACTAGCCTGCTCTCCCCGCAAATTCGGCACAAAATAGTTACCATGACCTGGGGCAATCGCCAGCGCATTGTCATCCCCAACCAACTGTGACGACGTGGCTTACACCTTAGTGAAGCCAGAGAGTAATCGGACCAGAGATCCTCAGTGGAGCGCTGTGTGCATCTTCCGACACCTGTGAAAGCGGCTCGGGGAGTCGAAAATCATCTTTCATTCTGGAAATCAGCCACGAGGTTGGCAGGCTGTTTCGTCGCAGGTACTGGTGACCACCCGCGTGCACCTCGTCCATGAAAGCGCCAAACCATTCAGTTGCGTAAGAGAAGTTTTGGGGTTGGAAACTTATATCTTGTGTATGGGCTTCGTGCTCTACGGCTTGATTTAACTACGCTTAGCGAGGAAGCTTTTCGACTGCCATTGGGCATACGGGCGTACATTGCTGTCACCACCGAGTGCGCTGGTGAGATACTCTTTGATCCAGGGCTCTTTGCAAGGGTCAATGTCCGATCCTTCATTTATCACAGGCCTTCAGTCAGCAACAATCTGCTGAAGATGCGCGGGCTCTTCGACTCGCACGCGAGCAATTGGCACGATCCCTTCCGCCGCTTTGGAATCAATGCACTGAGGATTTCCGGATAGTCCAGCCGCCCCATGAGTAGGCTGGCTAGGTTTGAGAGACCAGGGCCCAGTTGTTTTCGGCGGTAGAGTCTTTCTGCTTCAGCATCCAGGTCCCCTCCGTCCAGACGGTTCCAAACGCGAAGCAGACGGCACCGCCGCCCAAAATGACTAATTCGGCGGGGGTGACAGTGCTCGCAGCATGGCCGACCAACAAAGGTCTCGGCCCTGCAAAGCCAGCCCCTAGTCCGATTGCAGACGGGATATTGGGGCTGTCATTCCAAGACATCTCGCCTTTCAAGCATTTCAACATAATTGACGAGTCGAGAAGCATAATCTCTTTGTCAAGAGGAACCACTTGTCGAGCGGTAACACCACCGACAATAACCAGACCCCACGAAGTCCGACTGACCGTAGCCCCAAACCGATTGATATACTTGAACAAAGGCGAGTTGTTTCGCAAGTTCTCGGTTTGGTCATCCAGTTCTAGGAAAAGGGATCCATCACTCTTCTGTCGGCATTTCCACGTCCAAAAGTCATCAAGGACAACTCCATCCGGGCCGATTCCCCCAAATAGCACCCCTGATGTATCATCAAGGTTTGTCAAGCAAGCCCCGAATCGAGACCCAACTTTATCTGTGTTGACCTCGACCTCTCGCCATCCATTTCCGCTTTTGCTCCACGATAACCATGTACCCAGCACGGAGCCGTTACTATCTTTTCCTCCGTATACAAGGACATAATCCGTGTCAAGGGTGACTTTCACAGCATTGTGCCTGAACCTAGGAGCCGGGAGATTCTGGGTTTGACGCCACTGGCCCGCTTCTCGCAGCCAGCAATCCTGAAACCCCGAGGCTGGGGAGGCTCTCCCTCCAACAAGTAGGCAGTCGCCGTTGCCCAGGTCCGTGACTGTGTGACACATTCGGGCCGATACGTCATTCGGGGGGAAAGGCAGCCGGGATTCGACGATGTCTTTCGAATCGGCATATAGGTCGGTGGATAGCAGCCGTGTTTGACGGCCTATCCCGGAATGGTAGCCGATCGATGAGTTTCCGTCGGGAATCAACGCCCCGAATCGCCGCTGGCCAACCACAGATGGGCAATTTGCCAGTAGTGAGAACTCGGCACTAGAGACTCCTGGCGCTTCGGGAACTGTTGACTCTGGAACGGCTTCGGAGCCTGGAGAAGTAGAGGCATGCAGGAGGAAGTAATGGGACGAATAGAGTGCGAGCTCTTCCCACTCGTCGAATGGCTCCACTAGATCTAGAGAGTTCCTGAGAGGGGTGCCGACGAATTCGTTGTCTGACCAAAGATCCCATAAACTCCTAGCCTTCGCCTGGCTCCATCCAGCGTCTATAAAGCGCTGCTCCTGCTGGCGCAGCGAAGGATATTCGTGTACCGAATGCAGGGGCGCGCCCATCTTTTTAAAGTGCTTCATCATGGCCGATGCGAAAGGATGCTCCGGTCCGTCGGGGAAAAACTGTTCCAATATGCAAAATTGAGCATCTTTCAAGGTGTCAGCATGCGAGTCCGTGATAAGCTGGGAAATTGTCGGTGTTCCTGACTGTTGCTTAGTTTCGAGGCCCATTGCAGGACCGCAGTGGCGGAATTGACGTCCATATATGTCAGGGACACTTCCGCCAGAAAGAGAACCGAGCACTCCGAGGGCAGGATTTGCCGTCTGAGCACTTCGTCTAGCCTTTCTAGGTTCTTCAGATCGCAGCCAACAGCCACATAATTCTTGCTGCGAACCAGGATGGGACTGTCGTCTGGCAGGAATTCTACATCCTGGAGGAGCTGTGTGATGTCGTCCGCTTTCTGGATGGACAGCTTTCTATTGACCATCAATTTCTCGTAATCGATATCCACGAACGTCGTATTTCTACAGAGGCTCTCGTCGGCGCTGAGCAGTATAAAGGGCAACGGATCACTACGACGTTCCGACTTAGCATCCAATCCATACGTTTCCACCTCGTTATCTTTCCGCCGCGTTACGACTCACAAGCCACAACCAAGATTCAAGACGAATTTGGGTTTCTCCGAAGGTTCGCGCATGAATCGGCGGACGCTCTCTTCCATCGTATGCATCCGAAGCCAGTATCCGCGATTGATCACAGGCGATCGTCGCTGGGGTTTCCCGACGAAATACCGGAAAAAGTGGGGTTTAGGGTAATAGAGCTGCTCGACGCTTCGTTTCGATGCGATACTACTATTGTTCGTCTTCAGACAGTCAAGTAAGTAACATCATCTCGCAGGATATGCGGGGTCAAGGACTCAATCGTATACAACTCACCGCCATCACCAAATCGGCGTCCTTTTCAACCTTAGAGACGCCTCCAGGGGCCGTCGCTGGCCCTTTTTTGGAGACCATCACTAAAGAGCCGAAAACACCGCTCCTGTAGAGTCTATAGACTGGTAGAATGTCAAATTATATGAAAAAGAACGGCAACCCGGGAGTGGGAAAAGCCCCACCACAATGTCTTGAAAAGTTTAGATCATCTGTAGTAATCAAGGTGTGGCCCGAGCGTCCAAGGCACGCTTTGCCGCGCGCCAGACTCAACCCGCGGTAGGAGGAGGAACTGCTTGTTGCTCTGCGATTTCCCCGGGTCCTCTCTTGCTCAACAATTCTCAACCTTAACGATCCTCCTTCCGTGCGCTGCGGACCTTGGTCGCTCCTATTTTCTGTATTGTACGTCTGCATGTGATCGCTGATCACCGGTATACTTAAGCCCCCCTCGGGACCCGTGAGGCGAAAGGTCATCGGTGACGAAATGGTCCTGTGATAGGATCGACCTGCTCTGCCTTTTAGCTTCCTGCCACTACCCACGAACCCCGCGAACATCCTTGTTGGCTCGATCTTGGTCGCGTAACGCTTCTTCTCTGATTCGATTTTCCAGTGTTTGCGCCACTTGTCTCTTTTTGAAATCGGTGTCGCGCTCGCAAGGGGTGCGACTGAGGAAAAATGGCCATGAATTTCGTGACGTTTAACCAAGACTACAGCCATTTGGCTGTCGGTAAGAGCTCCCCCACCTCCACCACCGAATACAGCCGTCGCGACAGGGACATTTGTTAATATCTGTCTACCAGCGACGTCTAGGGGTTTTCGAATCTTCACGACGGATCCTTTCGCCAAGAGCTATGAGACCAAGGAAGGGAATATCGCGATAATGGAGATGCTGTTCTCGACGTCGCTGGTTGCGCTCATTCTGTCGCCGCGTCGGCTTCACATCACTAATACCAAGGTTCGTAGACATCCTTTGCGCAAACATGTGGGGTTGTGCGACTGTCATGAGGAGGGGAGAGGAGAGGAAGAGGCAAGATACTGCATGCTGTTGGGACTGTTGGGCTGTTTACTCGATTTCGTGACTCTCGTTGACACTGCTTGTCTGCGTCTTTTCAATATAGCGCCAATCCACAATATGCGAATTGACGTTCCCTACCACCGTCCTAGCGGTCAAGCTGAACCGAAAACGCCTCGTGATCGTTCTAGAGGATCAGATCTATATCTATGACATCCAAACCATGAAGCTCCTATATACAATCCAGACCTCCCCGAATCCGAACGGCAAGACCTTCCATCTTCCGCTGCATTTGCATGAGCTTTGTTTCTAACATCCAGCAGCGCTCTGTGCCCTATCGCCATCGTCCGACAATTGCTATCTCGCATACCCTCTTCCGCTGAGAGCTCCGGCTGCTACTTTCAACCCCCCGCCTCATGCGCCACCGGGAGCAATGCACGTATCACCTACCAGTGGAGAGGTCCTAATCTTTGATACGTTGAAGCTAGAAGCGATCAACGTCATTGAGGCGCATCGGTCTCCTTTAGCATGCATTACACTCAACGGCGATGGCACTCTAATTGCCACTGCGTCCGACAAAGGAACAATCATCCGCGTCTTTTCCGTCCCCGATGGCCACAAACTCTACCAATTTCGGCGCGGGTCAATCCCGTCCAGAATCTACAGCATGTCCTTCAACACTACTTCGACCCTCCTCTGCGTCTCTTCGTCGACCGAAACCATACATCTATTCAAACTGAGCCACCCGGGCCAGTCTCCTGACGGCTCCTCCCCGTCCTCGCCCACCGCCCGCCAAGGAACATTGAGTCACAGTTCTCCGAGTCAATCGCCGGAAGCCGACGACATGGGGGAAGAATCGGGCTCGGAGGTAGCTATGCGGAAACACAATGGGACATTAATGGGAATCATCCGACGGACCTCTCAAAATGTCGGGAGCTCTTTTGCTGCTCGAGTCGGCGGATATCTCCCCAAAGGCGTCAGCGAAATGTGGGAACCAACGCGGGACTTTGCCTGGATTAAACTCCCCAAGGTCAACCAGGCCGCGGGAGGAAATGGAAATACTGGGCCGCTACGGAGCGTCGTCGCCATGAGTAGCAACACGCCGCAAGTTATGGTAGTCACCAGCGACGGTAACTTTTATGTTTACAGCATCGATCTCGCAAAAGGTGGTGAGGGCACATTGACAAAACAATACTCGTGAGTTTGGCTCGTTCATTGATTCTTGATATACATGCTGACAGAGACGCTAGCGTACTTGATACTAATGACAGGCTTGGATACACTGGTACTGATTACTGAATCCGCCACATCGTTGTCATACCAATCCCATTTAATTCCATCTCCTCTCTCTCTCTTTCTTTTGTTTTTTCAGTAATTTCCATGGGCTATCCTCGGTGGGAAGCAACGGTCTTTTTTCTACTTGCAGCATGCGGTTACGGCGGCGACTGTTTTCACGATATCCTTGGTCTTTTATGTTGTCTTTCATGCGACTGTCTGTATACTGTTACCACCTCATTCTTGAAGCATGGCAATAGTATAATGCACACTATCAAATTCCATGGTGGAAGATTCCCGTCATCCAGTACTGCAAATGCCGTCGTAATCTATAGTGATTGTGAAAGGGCAATTTTATATCTTATAATGATTGAGATGGAGACACTTAGAAGAACTGCTTTAAATTATTACACATAACGCAATTGAGTCGGGTTTTCCTCCCTTACTATCTTCCAGGCTATTCAAATCTTGTCGTTTTCAGATATAGATACAGGTCACATGACGATCATATAACGGAAAATGGACTCCAAATTTTCAATTGGTCAACACCACAAACATCAACTGTCTTTAACGACGAAGAACGACTCTGGGGTAATAATATTGTGTATAATGTCCCAGTTTCAAAGCTGAATTGGAGGCTTTGGGAATTAAGATTGCCTAAACCACCATCAGCTGTTACCCAAAATGCCCTTCTAAGCTCGCGCATTCTATCATACCTACTATAGCTCAGTCAATAAGCCAAAGTCTAGCCTTATCCGAGCGACCAAATTCCAACAGGATGTCTCTTGAATATCATGCTCCTTCTGGACAAGGCCCTACTTCCGGACAGGCCGACAGAGACCCTGCAAGACGCAGTCATACCGGAAAACGCCCGAAAAAGATCTTCAATCCACTACAGCGGGGCATACAAGACTTCGTGACAAACCATCTATCACCATCAACACTTTCCAACTACGGCCTCTCCCCAGAAACGCTATCATCGTCACTCCCAAAGCGCTTCACCGCATATGAACCGCTACTCTTGCTTCCCGCAAATGCGTTCAGCATCCCAGCACCATGGGGCTCACTCTACCAAGACCTAGACGCCCAGCAACGCCATCAGCTCTACGAGTCCCTAGCAGCAGCATTCAGCCACATGGGTGTGACACACATCGCGATCAACGCCCCCATCGCACCCACTGACACTCAAGGGCACGAGAATCGCATGCGAAGCCCCGTGGGCCTGATCCCCTTGCACGGAGACTTCGGGCCCCCGCCATCAGGAGACGGCGAAGAAGCGCAGCCGAGTGAGCTCGATTTCCAGCATGCGCTGTGGGTGCGCACGGTGCAGAACCACGGGATCGTGCAGATCTGGGCGCCGCTGTACACCATGTTCTCGCGGGGCAACATCACAGAGAAGGCGCGGATCCTGGGCGCGTTTGAGGGGCTCGATGAGGGCTCGCTTGCGGGGCAGGAGGTTGGGGATGTTGCTGTTGTTGATATGTATGCGGGAATTGGGTACTTTGTTTTCTCGTACTTGAAGAAGGGGGTGAGGAGGGTGTGGGGGTGGGAGATTAATGGGTGGTCTGTGGAGGGGCTGAGGAGGGGATGTGTGGAGAATGGATGGGGTTGCAGGGTGGTTGCTGTTCGGGATGGCGCTTTAAATGTGTCTGTGCAGGAGTTGGTTGAGAGTCTTGACGACCAGACCAGGGTGGTTATCTTCCATGGTGACAACAAGCACGCTGCCAGGATTTTGAGTGACGTGCAGCGGGCGACAGAGGCAACGCGCCCTGGTGAATGGAACAGCATCAGGCACGTTAATTTGGGCCTCCTCCCGACATCCCGTGCGGCGTGGGATAACGCCTGTAGCATGGTCGATGCTCAGAGGGGTGGGTGGCTGCACGTCCATGAGAACATTGATATACAGGAAGTCGAGCAGAAGAAACAGGAATTTACTACAGAGCTCCAAAGGATACGATCCCAGGCTATCAATTCGCCTGCCATTGCTGAGTGCCGCCATGTTGAATTTGTGAAGACCTACGCGCCGGGGGTCATGCACTGTGTCTTCGATGTAAGACTGTCGTCCCCATCCGACAACGGTCCGAAATAAGGCACTGGCGAAACAACAAAACCCAAACCCACCAGCTCTGACCCATCAATGAAATCGAGCCCAACACTTGCGCGCAGCTGGGCAAATCTGGATCCGGCCAGATCAAACAGTGAATATCCTATCCTCGGGACGAAAGGGTATCGATTTATCGGTTCATATCAAGTAACCGGCATTCACACTGTCCAAGGAGACATCATATATACAACAAAAGAAAAAGAGAAAATCAACGCCATACTGTACACGTCTTCAAATCTTTCTGCGGAACTTTTGCGGGATATTGTTCTCCACAATCTGTGTCCTTTCGAGCTGTTCCAGCCTTTCCGCCGCCATATCCTCCTCGTCGTGTCTCCGGAAATGCTCAATGTCTTCGGGATGGTTGAGGTCCTCCTCTGTTGTATCGTCTCCGTGGTACTTCTCGAAATGGTGGATTTCATACTCATACTCGATATCGCCGTGATGACCGGGACCAAACCCAAGATCGGGAAGTCGAGTGCCGGACGAGATCAAACGCATCCAGTTATCGCGGGAGATGATGCCAGTGTTGGTGGGGTCGAACAGCGCAAACACCTCCCGAACGCCCTGCTGCTTGCGATCTTCACTCACGCCGGCGTTCGACTCGTCGTCCAGGCCATATGTCTTCCGAACCTCGTCCAAAGTCCAAGCTCCGGAGTTATCGTAATCGTGAAGGGCGAAGAAGGAGCCGGGGTCGAAAGAATCGATGTGATGTTCCTCTGTTGGAGCAGCAGCGTTAGGACGTGCGATGTCAAGAGATCACTTGAGTCACCCACCATTCATGTGCCGCGTCGCCCAGTCAGAAGATGGGGGCTGATCGGAATGGGCGCCATGGGCATTGGCGACGCTGCCGCTCAAGGCCAGCAGAGCAGCTGCGAGGGTGATCGATGGGATAAACATCATCGACTGCACGGATTCAGGGGTTGTGACAAGTAGTTATAGGATCCAGAGGTTATAATTGCAGCCCGGCTACATAAATCAAAGAAAAATAAATACAACAATGAGACAAGACCAGTGCGTTCCACACAAAGGAGATGTCAACGTACAGATGGTATCTCAAGCTTCCCCGTGTCTGGTCCGGCTATCCTTAGAGCGGCTGTTTGCAGGGTTTGCACCCGCCCGGAGACCCGATGACTTTTTGTCGGCGAATTCGGTTCCTGGTCGTCCCACTACGACCTACATCACCACACTACCTTCGATCAACCATTGAGCCCTGGAGGGTCGTCAATTCCCTTGGTTTATTCGCCGGCCGCCCTCATTCATTCCGATTCCGGACAAGGCATGTCGTGATTATGCAAAGTCTCTGGACCCGTGCCGGTTCGGCGCAGTCGTCGACCTGTCGCTGCGTCTCATGCCTGAGCACCGGCGCGAGCGGATTGACCTCACGGACAGCGTCAGCCGCAAGCAAGAGACGTCTTCGGATCGGAAACTCGATTACGGCTTTTTATACGAGTATTTTCGCCGCCGCTGCGTTGGCAGATGCCCGGGCGAAGAATCAACGGCGTCTTGAATGGACGGAAAAGATCGCGGCCGTCAAGGAGGAGGTCGACAAGTTGATGGACGAGGAACAGCGCATTCTACAAGCAATTTCGCCGCAGCAATTGGCGACGCCTTTTCGTCGAATCTCCCAGATACGCCAATACAGCACTGCTGCTGCCCGCCGTCCCTCCGAACGACCCCGAGTCCAATGGCCGTCAAATAACCTTCGAAGGAACCCCCGGCGTGTCTCGGATTCGCCAATGTTTTCAGATGATCTGGAATTTGAGGATGGGTCACGCTCCGGCGGTGCTACTGTGGAGGTCGAGCAGGAGAGCCGGGTGGTCACAGAGATCCTTGCGGAAAACGAGGCTCCAATCTTTGAGGATGCAGACGATGGGACAGGCTTGTCAAATCACTATGATGCCTTTCCAGAATGGCTCTGGTATGAGCCGGTTCGCCTCAAGGCGATTCGGAAACTGGCGCTGAGACAGCTGGCTATTCGATTATTGCTGCGGCCGGCCATCGCGCACACATACGAGGGGATCCGGATGAACTACGCGCAGGACTCCTCCGTACCGCAGTTGAAGGTAGCCGATCTTCTCAAAGAATTGAGTCACATTCGACACAGAATGCGGCATTTGAAAACGTCGAGGGAAGCATACATCGATGATCTGACCAAGGATTTTCGCCTTCGCGATATGGATGAGGTGACACGCGAGCGCGCCCAGCTGGAAGAGGAGATGCGCAATGACACAGAAGTATACCTAGCCGAGGAGATGTCGCTCGCAGAATACCTTCTTCGACTGTCGAACAACATCATGCGTTCTAAAGACCCCGATCGGTCTACCGCTTTACGGTTGATGCTTTTGGCTTTTTACAAAACCAAACAGCACGATCTATGCCACCTGGTTATGAAGACGATCCTACCTCACAAGTTTCCTCTGAACGCCTCTCTTATCCTCACGATTCTTACCTTCTACCGCAAGGACAAAGACCTCCGGTCATTCGACCGGTTTCTGAATATGCTGTGCGGGCAGGGTTATCCCATTGACATGTACAACCTGAGCTACTACGTCAAGGAAGTAATCAACGGCATCGAAATTGCCGTTCCCCCTGTTCAATCCGCTAATGCCGTCGCATACACTGTCCTGATCGTGTCTTGCTTGCGTTTTAACCAACCCGAGCGAGCCGAAGCATACCTCCAAGCGGCTAGGAGGATAGGGTACATGGACCATTTTCCCAACCTGAATGCATATTTAGCATTCTATGCCAATCGACACGACTGGGATATGGGCGTGCAGACCATGAAGAGATGTCTGGCTTTCATCTCTTCATCAACAGCCCACGAAGAGGTCAGTGTGGAGAAAATGATCCTTCTAATGACCAACCTTTGCGACTCCTGCGAAAGATACGACGTCTCCGAGGCAATCATCGTCGCCGCAGTGGACAGTGGCTTCGACTGGAGGTGCGCTATGGAGCACCTGCGTATCGAATCAGCCATAGACCCACATTCCCGCCGATGGCACGTAGCAGAGGACGCCTCGCCAACGAGTCTCAACGCCCGAGACAAAGCGACATGGGAGAAGTGCTACGCATTCGCCAACGCCTTCGGAGAACAACTCAACGAACTCGCCTTGGACGAGCACAAATCCTCCGCTCGCCAATGGCAAAAGCTAATGGGGACCTACGCCCAGCAAGTCCTCGACTCCGTCCTCGCCGGGAAGCCCGCAGAGCACCGAAACTCCAACCTCGCTCCAGAGCCCAGCAACACAAGCCAACAAGAATCTCTCCTCGAACAAATCAACATCGAAGACGACCGGTTCAACGTCGACGAAGAAGAGTTCCACGAAGCGAAACGCACCGCCGAAGCACAGAAAGAAGAGATCTCCTCCCTAAGAGACGAAGTCTCGCACCTAAAGCAGCTTATCTACAAACTCCACCAGACTACCCTCAACAGCACCTCCATAGCCCAGTCTGCCTCCAAAGACCTAGAACAGCTGAAAGCCCAGCTCGCATCCACAAAGACCATCCTTCCACCCAAAGCCGCTGCTCTCGACGAGGCGCCGCCAGCGCCTCCACATCTAAGCGTTCGATATATCAAGTCGTCGTCTTGAGCGGCACGGCACGGCACCCCTCGAATCTTGGAGCTGTCTGCTCCGGGTCTCAATTCAAACAAACCATCGGCGACAAGCGCTTCAAGAAAGCGTGTACATTGTGTTAAGTTAACTCGGCGGAGTTATCATTGGTTTATCTATATGTTTCATTATTCTTTTTTTTCTATACTTTTTTTTTTTTGGCTCCGCCTACTGATACCTTAGTGAACTGTACATTATCATGATAGAATTGGAATCAACGACCAGGCCATCATCTCTCAATTACGCCTTTTTCAGCTTATTCATGTGGGATTTTGGGACTAAGGAAAATCTATACGTGTAACAACAGATGCTTTCATAAAGAAATACATATCAAGGATATGGGAAATCATAATTACTCAGCTTCATGAGACAGACAGCATTACTTAGATCATTTGCCAGTCCTGTAATCAAGGGAAGTTCCAAGTTTTCTCTATACAAACTGACAATACATATCGATTGTCAGGCGCTACTCCTAAGCATAGACAAGAAGAAAATGAAAGAAAAAGACAGATAGAGGAAATCTACAGAAGCGTACCGGCCACGACGCCAAATAGAAAGAACATTTCATCAACATAAAATAGATGTCTAGAAAGGGTAAATAAAAAAAGGAACTCCTAAAACCGCAAATACACATAATCTATCGTCTCCGTGATCCCTCAGAACGCATCTTCTCCTTGCGCGTAAGCCGCTCGGCGGCGCGGAGAAGAGCTGACCGGATGTCGCCCTTGGCGAAGGTTGAGATGTCGTAGTATGCGGGGGCGATATCCTGCAAGCATCAATTAGTTACTGCTCGTCTTCTTCCACTTATTGTCGGTGGGGGGGGGAATATCTTACCAGGAGCCACTCAGGCTTGACGGCGGTGACAGTCCGGATGTAATTCTTAGTGGTGAGCACAAATTCATTGTACAGGACCCATTCAGCTTCGTGGCTCAGAACAGTCGAGGGATGCAACAAGACATTTTGGTTGTCCTTGATGGTCGTGTACATGTTCTTTCCCTGGCTTTCCTTCCTGGCGACCTGCATGAAGAACCCAGCGCACAGGGCACGGCGGATGTTCTCGTAGTACTTCTTGTCCTCGAAGGGAGTGGAGACCATCTCGAGCTCTTCGCGCTCCATGATGCGCAGAAGCTGCATGCGCACGTTATCTGCCGACTGGAGCGATCGCAGGGAGAGGAAGTGGTCGTGGCACCACTGCTTGGGGTTTTCCTGGGCGTCGGCGCCCTTGAAGGCGTGGTAGACGTTGAGCATGGTCAGTTGGTCGCCGTCGGGGTGAGCGAAGAGGTTCTTCATCTCGTCGGCGCGCTTGCGCTGGGATGCCGGTCGCACGAAGACCTGGGGGACGGACAGAAGGGCCGTGATGGAGAGGATCTCGTTGGAGCAGTAGAACTCGGGCGAGCTGATCAGCATGACCGCCAGGGCGGGGTCAAGGGGGAATTCCGACGCCAGACGGCCCAACGGAGTGAGGTTGCCCTCGTCATCCAAGCACGCCAGGTAGTTGAGCTCCTCCAGGGCTCTCATCAGGGTCTCGGGGGCGGGGGGGTCCATCAAATCAAAGTGGACCAGATCATCGACACCAAGTTTCTTCAACTCCAGGACGGTGGACGACAGGTTGGAGCGCAGGATCTCAGGGTAGGTCTGGTCGATCAGTTCCTTCTTGAAGGCGCCTTCGGTGTAAAGGCGGAAGCACTTTCCGGGACGTGTACGACCGGCACGACCGGCACGCTGCTGCGCCGAAGCCTTGGAGATCGGAGACACCAAGAGCGACTCGACACGGATGCGGGGGTTGTAGATCTTCTGCTTCGAGAAACCCGGGTCCACGACATACACGATACCATCGATGGTCAGCGAAGTTTCGGCGATGTTCGTCGACACGATGACCTTTCTCCCAGCGCGACCTCCGGGGCGCGTTGGGCCGGGGGCCGGGTCGAAGATGCGTTGCTGCATATGCGGCGGCAGACTGCCATAGAGCGGGTATACCTTCAGCGGACCGGCGCCAACTTCTCTGGTCATCTCATCGGCCTCCAGGGAGATCTTGCGCGAGGCATCTTCAATTTCCTCCTCACCAGTCAGGAACAATAAGATATCACCATCTGCCTCGGTGGCGTGAATTTGGAGAACCGTGCGGATGGCGGCCTCCACGTAGTCATTTTCGGGTTCGGGGGTGTAGAAGATCTCGACCGGGTGGGTGCGACCGGGAACGGCGAGGAGAGGGGCATCCATGAAGTAGCGCTGGAACTTCTGCGCATCCAGAGTCGCAGACATGATGATGATCTTCAGATCCGGGCGTCGCACCACAACCTCCTTCAGTAAACCCATCAGAACATCCGTCGCCATGGTCCGTTCGTGAGCCTCGTCCAGAATGATCGTGCTGTAGCGATTTAGGTTATGGTCATGCATGGCCTCCCGCAAAAGCATACCGTCCGTCATGTACTTCAGGAGAGTCTTGGGGCCCGTCTTGTCCTCGAAACGGATGCTGTAACCCACTTCTTCTCCCAGCCTGACATCCATTTCTGCCGCCACACGCTGGGCGACGGACATGGCCGCCACTCGACGGGGTTGCGTACAGGCGACCATCTTACGCTGAGTTTGCGGCTGGTCATCGAACAGGACGAACTGAGGAATCTGTGTCGTTTTACCGGAACCGGTTTCACCCACGAACACCAGGATTTGCGACTGCTGGTAGAGTTGTAAAAATTCATCTCTATAAGGAACCATGTTAGAGATCAAGAACATCACCCCGGCAACATCAAGAACAATCCAACACTTACCTCTGGGCATGGACAGGCAAATCACGGCGCCCCTTCATGATCGAGAAGTACTTGTTGGAGAAGGGCTGCTGGGTGAACGGGTTGATATCGCCATCTTCAATCTTCTGGGCCTGGGCGGCAGTCGTCCGGTGTCTCTTCACTTTGGCGAATGCAGAGCCCTTGCTGAGAGCGCCATCGGCCGACTCATCCTCATACATATGCGCCAAATAGGGGTTGTTCTTAGGGTCTGTTGAAGCCTTATCCATCTTCTGGCGTTTCGCGCGCGAACCTTCAGAATCGGAGCGTCGATCGGTCATGACGAGAAAACAAACAATAAGAAATCAAAAAGAACGGAGGGAGTCTCCTGAGAAGGAGAGAAAGTGAATGATATGGGTATAGTTCAGCAAAGACTTCTCCACAACCGCCGGGGGTTTTCAACGAGCGAGTCAAGATGAGGTTGAAGAGGAACGAGTTTCGATAACGGAGAGAAAGAGGTCTAGATAGATGACTGAGGCGGAAACATAGAAAAAAAAAAAAAAAAAAAAAGGTCCATTTGACCCAGATAGGCAACTCTGCCGCGCATCTATTGCCATTGGTCAGATCTCCACCGCCCTGGGGATTCTGCCGCCACAACCCCGCGGAGCAAAAACAGCGGCAAGGGACTGACACTGTTTATCCTCTCTCTGTCTACACTCTCACCTTTGTCAAAGGGGTGAAACTTTCCCCTCTCTTAGGGTTGTTGGGTCTCGGACTTACAATTTCTCCTCTTCCTTGCATCTTTTTCTGGTCCGGCTTGAGACGGAAGATAATTGGATTGAATCGATTCAATTGTTGGAGTTAAACCATCCAGATAGGCATCAGATCATCCATCTTCGACACAGTCATTTACCTGCTATCTATCTGTCTGCATATATTCTCTCTTTGGTGTCATCTTTTTTGTACTAGTTTGGAGACAAATCTGATACTTTGGTTATCATCGCTTTGGCCATTGGTCGTTCCATACCCCCAATATCCACTGGATACTTCTTTTTTGCTTGACAGACTTATCCAAGGCTAGTGACCTGATACTGGGCTATCGCGAACATGGAGACCTACAGCAATCCGGACGAGATACCGCCCAGCTTCTGCGTTGGGCAGCATGAAAGCAAACGGGCCCTACCCATCAACTCTCAGACCGTGCGGTCAGCGCACGAAAGCAATGTACGGGATGTACCTCCTCGGGGTTCTATTGTTTCCACTAATGGGAATTGATCACAGTATGACCTGCTCACTACCCCCATTACGACCTCCCATTTTCAATCCAGGGTTCTTGGCCTGCTCTCCGCCCACCTGCCCAAAATGCAGTCGCCGTCCCCGGACGCCAATGGGACCATGGAAACCACCGAGAACACAAGGCCTTTGGACATTCCGCCGCTCGCACCCTCCGATACCCATCTCACCCCGAACGATGCGATGTCTCAGTTGGTGGGCGTCACCAGTTCCTGGATTGACATGTGTTCTCCGGATCCGTTGATTGCCGACATCTCTCGCCAAGTGTTCATGCTCGAGGTGGCCTATGCAGCCTTCTGCGGAATTGGATATATTCTGGTCCCTGGCCCGAAACTGCACCACCGGGACATGCATTCGGAGGGTGTGATGTACTACGCGAGAGCGATTCAGGACGCTATCACAATGGGCCCTTACATTCAATTCCACATCTGGGTGAAGTCTGTGGACAATCCGGAACTCGAAGTAGACGAAATGGGCGATTTGGCTCCCCTTGCCCGTGAAGAATTTCTAGAAGACTTGGACGACGGGTCGTCCCCGCCGCTTGATCCGTTTGGAACCTGGGATGCGTGGGACACTATCCGCAGAGCTTGTAAATATCATACGCGGCTTTTTGTAGGTAAGAATAGGTCACCTCTCTCTCTTTCACTTCACGGCAGCCTCTCTGGGTCTCGGCGGTTACTGCTTTTTGTTCGGCTTTCGTTCGCCGAGTAATCCTTGCTAACTTGGTCTTGTAGCACTTGCATTGCCGAAACAGCTTCCACCGATGTCTGTGCAGTCTCGGTGGCATTCAGAACCAGTTCATATGCTGACTTTCGACGCCAATTCGTTCATCAAGAACCAAAAGGGCTTTCCCGTGCTGTCCAAACCGCATCAATCGATGATATCCCGGTTCATGCGTCTTCGGACTGCTCCATGGATTCTCCTGTGTGATGTTGGTCCAATTCCTGGTGTGGAGGCAAACGAATCATCCACAGGCGGCCGTCAGGGCGCGGACTATCCCAGTCTCACACAGGCAGCGGTCTCAAACAAAAAGAACCACGACCCAACTCCCCATCTGTCGTATATCAGGAATCTTCAACAGCGTCAACCTTCCAGAACCGCCATGGAGAGGTTTGGCGTAGGATACCAGGATTATTTGCAAGCTCCCCTCCAGCCATTGACCGTGAACTTGGAAAGTATAACTTATGAGGTCTTCGAAAAGGATCCCATCAAGTACGAATGGTATGAACGGGCCATTGCCAAGGCTTTGAAAGATTGGAAAGAGCAACAAAAAACCACATCGCACCCAGATGGACGGGTGCTCGTTGCCGTGGTGGGTGCTGGCCGAGGGCCGCTGGTCTCCCGGGCGCTCAAGGCGAGTGCCGAGACAGGCATTGAGATCGACCTGTGGGCTGTCGAGAAGAACCCCAACGCTTTTGTCCTGCTCCAGCGGCACAATCAAACGCTGTGGGGTGGGAAGGTCACCCTGGTTCAGTCGGACATGCGGGGCTGGAAAGGACCGAAGGTAGAGGTGAAGACACCGGCCGATACTCCGTCCATACCTGTTGGAAAGTCCCTCGGGATCGAGAATTCCCTCCTTTACGAACCGGTTTCCGGTCAGAACAGCCCAGATCCAAGCACCAGCCAGGGCCCTCGCGATCTGACATCTACGACCGTCGACATTGTGGTCTCAGAGCTCTTGGGCTCCTTCGGTGACAATGAGCTGTCACCGGAATGCTTAGATGGTATCACTCATCTCCTGAATCCTACGCATGGCATTTCGATCCCGGCTTCGTACACTGCCCATCTCACGCCGATCTCAGCACCCAAGCTGCACTCCGACATCATGAACCAGACGATATCCAACCCCGCAGCCCCGGAGACACCATATGTGGTCATGCTACACGCCATCGACTACCTGTCTACCAACCAACCCTCAGCAGCTACCACCATGAGCATCCACAGCGGTAGCACCAATAACAACGGCCGGACCTCGATATCCACCCTACCGGGGACTGAGACCCCAATTCCCGATGTGCAGACCGCATGGTCCTTCTCCCACCCCAACAGGCATATCCCCCCGCAGGCACCTGGTTCCTCGACGATCTCCAATGCCCACAATGTCCGCCGGACCCGCTTGACTTTCCCGGTCCAGAATCGGGGCGTTTGTCACGGTCTGGGCGGATATTTCGAGACGGTCCTCTACCGGGACATTGAGTTGTCGACGAACCCTGTCACCATGGACAGCAAGAGCGCCAACATGATCAGTTGGTTCCCGATCTATTTCCCACTCAAGGTAAGGCGGCTAGCCTCTTCGATTTTTGTCCTGAAACCACAGCATAGACCCCAAAGCTAACAATCGCGATCTCCAGACGCCGCTGAATGTCCCCGACAATGGGGAGATCGTCGTGACCATGTATCGCCAGACGGATGGTCGGAAGGTTTGGTACGAGTGGATGGCCGAAGTGTTCGCGCTTGAGCGTTTCACAGGGCCCTCTGGGGAGTCCGTTGCCCCAGTCATGAGCGGAGCCCGGGCAGTATCTCCGGGAGACAAGGGTGCTCAGAGCGCTAAACCACCACAGCCCAGGGGGGGTCACGACCGCATCCGTCGAGTGAGGGTCGGCATGACCGATCTTCATTCGAGCATCAAGGAGGGGTGCTTGATGTAGTGCCTTAGGGTAGGCCGAGTCATTGGCTCTTATGCAGCGGGTGGGTTATCTTGTCTGCGGACGGTATCAACAATAAAGATATCAGGCAGTAAAAAGAACGAACGGAAGGAAGGAAGGAAAAGGATAGGGAAGAAATTACAGAAATGCAGGGTGATACAAAAGCCATATGGAAAGAGAAATCTATACCTATGATAGGAGCAACAAGATAGCAACGAATATCAGGATCTTCCCGGTGTGTCTCAGGTACACCGGACGCCCGGTTGGATCTCACTAAGGAACACCACGCCATTATATCATGATCTGGGGGATAATTGGGGGAGCAGCGCTGTATACTGATTGACCTAGACTATCCTGGATTTTTAGTTTGAATCTTCTAATTCAAATGCAACCCGCGTCTTCTGCATAGATGACTAGACGTTCTAGGCCAAAAAATTCCCCCATCAAGGGGAGAAAGGAGCTCAGACAGAGCTCCTTGGGAAGGTTTGATATTTGGGTTGAACATGATATATCTACAGCTGGTACGGTTCTAGTTCAAATATGTGGTACCTTGATGTTGAATACAGATAGATACCTACCGAGCAAAAATCCACCATTATTTCTTTGGCTATAGGCTTACTAGTATATACTAATTTCTGAATATAATTTTGTTTGACACTGGTAGTTCATTCTAAGACTTTTACACAAATGTATCTATACAATGCTTCTATTAGACAATAATTTGCATTGTCAGGTACTTCATGTCTGGACATTTGACAGATATATGTTCATGGATCATGATAGTGATAACAAGTTCAAGTATTTGAGTATCGAAGAAAAGCATAATATAACTATCGAATCTAATTATACAAAGGCTGACTTCCCTTCCAGGTGACTCAAATCCTGCATCAAAGGGACTATAATGTCGCGAAAAACTCTTTCTTGAAAAGCTTCATCTTCCAAACTCTCCTCCCGGCTGCCATGCCACCGCAGGCATTTATCTACCACATCGGCGTAATCGGCCCCACTTTCAGCTTGCACAGAGGATAAGCACCGCGAGGCAGTTTTCAATAAAGTGTGCGCCGGCACTATGTCGTGGTCCTTTGGCTCATATAGATCATCAAGATTCTGACACAAAGAAAGCTCCACCAGAGTCAGACCGAGAGGGAAGAGAACTTCGTTTCGCACGAGGACAGACGACGTTTTGTCCTTGCACATGGTCTGGCTGTCCATGCTTCCGGGTACGTCCCACATAATATAAGGGTTTCTTTGCTGGCTGGACTCTGTGGTTGTAAACATTATGTCGCCTGATTGCCACTGGGCCCTGAGCCAGTTTCCGTGGAAGCGAAGAACGCTACACGCGAGTTTGACTGCGAGCTGCAACCGGTCTCGTCGGTTGAATACTGCACTGCATGGAGTCGGAATGGGTGCTCGAGGAGCTGCTATTCGAAGGAGGTCTTTTAGGGAGAAGATATCCCTATGGTCTGTAATGCAACGCATATAATAGATCCTGTGCAGTCGTTCCTCATCTTTTAAGTATCCGAGAAGCGACTGCTCATTGGCACCACCGAGCTTGTTCAAGGTCGAACAAATATCACGGATTTGAACCGGTGGAGGCTTCTGGTGATTACCAGGGCCGTCCTTGCCTGGTTTTGGAGAGGCGAACCTGACCATTTTTCTCAGGCTTGGTAGAGCCTGTTTATGCAATCCATTTGGAGGAGGGCTCTCATCAATGTCTAGTTCGGTTTCGATTTCGTGATCCTTGATAACAGCTTTACCGGTGGTTCCTTGGGTCAAGATCACTCGAAATCGAGGATAATCAGGATGCTCCGAAGAATCCGGCGGTTCATTCGGAAGGGCCTCGAGAATGAATTGGATTGAATGACCGCCTTTACAAACACACTTTTTCCAGGATTGTCCATGAAGAAACGATCTATGTAGACTGCATGCTGCCTCCCTGGAGCGCCTGTGCCACGAAAGAAACTGACCATGAATTCGTTTAGCCTGGAACGCTTCTTGTTTCCCGGCTTGGTGAACCAATCTTGATAGACGGAAGTTCGACCTCTCGAGATCATCGAATACACTGGCGAAGGTAGCCTTCTTGAAGAAGTTTCGGAGCTTTTTTGCTTCTCGCTTCAAAGCATCGGTGCTGTCCCACAATTCCTAAACCACACATCAGATGGAAATGATCTATCGACAGCATCACTATGGCTGTCTATGGGGCTCGACAGAAGTTGAAGCATGGCATACCTGCGCTGATTGATCCTTTAGACCCAGCTCGCCATCTATGTCAGATATAATCTGGCCCATCTCGCTCAATATTTCTTTAAAAGGCCCATAGCTTCTTCCCATCTTATTCTCCAGCTTTTTATCAATCTCTAGTCTTATCCACTGATCTCCCTGGATATCTTGGATCAAATCGTCAATATCATTTTCGTACTTGACTACCCCGTCAAGTGCTTCCTCGATCGTGTTCTTAAATAAGACCTCCTGAGTCTGCAGCTTGAACGCATATGTATCGAGGTCCCTGAGGTAAATCGAAGTTCTCAGGCTTTTCAGGTACTGTACGCCTTGGGCGTATGTTTCTATTCGCTTGACGACGAGAGGAAGGACCGCAAGGATGATACTAGCTGTCTCTATCCCGGTTACCATGCTGGAAGAGTTGCGTTAAATCAAGGTCAAGAATTGTATAGAAACACTTGTGATGCTTTGAGCATCGAAGCGCCATTACCACACGAGGCTTGCGAGGGAACCCCTCAACAGTCCCCGCACTTGGCCAACTCATCTTGCATTAATCTGCCATCATCTCATGGTTATGCTCTCGAATGCTATTTTTTGTGACATTCTAGGTATACATATACAAGTCATGAAAGCGCTTGATTGTTTCACAAAAAGGTCACTCTATTCTAGAGATAAGAGTCTCAAAAATGTCAGCCCCGATATCCACAAGCGTCATCAATTGTCTGAAGCATTTCAGTCAACTCATATCCTCCAATACGCTGGTGTCCTTCGAGGATGAGATCCCACCATCACTCTGGAAAGACGAACTGGATCGGCTGAGAACTTGGGCTGCCAACATAGGGGCTCATCAGAATAACCACTTATCGCTAGATTATCGACTTCGGAACGCATCGCATATCAGAGATCAGGTCTTGCGACTTCTCAGCCGACTTGAGAGAAAATTCGAAGAATTACAAGATTATTCAACAGTCTCGCACGATAGCGACTTGGATTCTGATTCGGACAGCGAAGAGGAAAGTCAAACATATCTCCAGGGAATATACAGTTCCCTACATGAAGTAGTCAACTGTCTCTTTCAACTGTCGGTAGTGATAAGACAGCCGGCACAGCATGATCGTGTCACAAAGATCAAACGATGGGACGTCCAAATGTGGGAACCAATTGATCAAAAACATATTCGAGACAAATACCCGGAAATCCACGCTGACCTTGCCGATCGGCTTGGTAGGGCTATCTCTCACCGCAGAGCGGTTCTGCGGTATAACGAACGACATCGCCAAAAACTAAGCCATGGCCTAGGCGAAATACTAGATGAGGACCTGGATTCCAGTCAGACCTCAAGTATACCTTCCAATACCAATACATTGGAGTATCGGGACAACCCCGTCGTTAGTATTGATTCTGACTCGAGGTCAATCAATACCCAGACCTCCTACGCGGACTCCACTTTTCAGAGCGAGACCAAAATAACAGTCCCTCCCCTTCCCAGCGAGTCAGAAGGCGGCACGCCGTATGAATGCCCGTATTGCTTCTATATCATATCCATCTTCAATCACCACTCTTGGGCTCGCCACGTTTTCCGTGACATCATGGCATACAGTTGTGTCTTTCCAGACTGTCCGACGCCTTATCAGTTATACGCCACCCGTGGTGAATGGTATGAACATCTGGAATGTCAACATCTTCAAGAATTGAATGATCAGGCTAGATCTGATTGTTTATTTTGTGGCATGAACTTTCCATCAACAAAGACACTGAAGAGGCACATCGCCAGGCACTTGCAAGAGCTGGCCCTTTTTGCGTTGCCTCCGTCACACACGGATGACAAGGGCAACTCAACGCCCCTAGAACAGCCATCTCCGACTCTTGCAGATGTTGAGTCTCATTCAGATAGCCCGGATGATGAGTCCCAGCAACCGGCATCTACTAGTGGAATTCTTTCCTCGGACCATGTCAGCAGATTGTCAATCGAGTCTACGACCGGTCCGGGGTTATCTAACATTGAAGATTTTTCATTCCCGATTTTCGTCATCAACCCCGTTGACAGAAAGGAAACAGCGGCAATGTTGTTAGTCAATACTCAGTCTAATCAAAACCTGATGTCCCTTAGAATGAGTCAAATTCTGCAGCTAGAATTAAAGGCCATGGATGCAGTGATAGGACAGCCTTGGAAATCTTTGCCAGTTCCAATAATTGCAATTGCCAATGGAGTTATGTGGCGTTTCCCGAGAGGAAAGACCTTCATATCTGACTTTCTCATTATAGACTCGGGGTACTACACGGTTATCTTGGGAAATGAGGATATCGAGAAATATGGCCTAGTGCTTCCTCTCCCGGACACCCACTCTAGTGATGCCCCTGTTTCGAAAGGCATTCGCAAAGGCCTTCGTGGTATTGGTGGAAAATTGCGCAAGACCTTCACCAGGGACAAACCATCATCTCAATAAACCCTATAGTACAGACGCAAATCATAACTGTCAAACAAAATTGGTATTTGATCCACACCAGTAATACAAGAAGAAACTCTCGCGAGGAATGTCAGTCAGATTCCATTTGAAAACTCATCATTTTCACGTCATCAATCAACTGACAGAGGCCTCTTTGACCTCTGAAGAATAAACGTGGAGGCACGGAGACTTCGTGGAGGTATATTGCACGCGTCAACCCCCATGTGGCAGTATGGGCTATTAAGGCAGCCCAGAACCGGTAACAGGACGCGTACGAGGCTCATCTGGGAACAGTTACAGGTACAACTGGTGGAGAATCTTTCTAGATAGTCAATTTTCTAGATAGTCAGTTACTCCTTTGGGCGAGTGGTATAGTGGCCGCTGCGGGAGTTCTATATCTGATATGCGTATACATAGCTCTTGAATCCGCCCGTGTAGAGCTCTAATCCCTGCTGCAATTACAATAATGTTTATTTCAATCATAGTCAGCTCACGAACGGAGACAATGCCCGGCGGTTTCTCAATGCTCCCAGCCAGTCATTGAAATCTCACATCACCACTGAGCACATGAGGCTGGACCATGGGCCGTCAACCACTAACATCGGCAGCTTGCCTCGATGTGCTTGCTGATTGGAGGTCTCGATGAAACTCTCTTCTTTTTTTGAAACGGGGTATGTCCGGGGCTCATCAACCTGCGTGCGGGACCAGTAGTTCGTTGATTATATGCGTCTGGATCCTGGTTGAGGTTCACTTTTGTAGTACAGGGGTGGTCGAATCTACGGGGGGGAAGGGGGGATGAGGTGAGCATATGCTATCTATTTAAGGATCGTCTGCTTATATGACACTCGGGTTTCAGTCCTATTTCAGTAGGTGTGGTGTACGTGGATGATTATGATGTGCTACGTGGGGCAGGGGAGATGTTCCTGGATGATTGATTGATTATGATCTTATCATGTGAATCATATATACCTTACCTATACTCCTATCATGTTGGGCTCATACACTAAGAGTAGGATCCTACTTTTGAGGCTCACATAATATATTGTATATTCAACCGAGACAACTACTTTTTTAGAACCAGATAGATCAAGTATGATCATGAGATAAAACCCTGGATCCCACCTTCCATCAGACCCAACCAGGTACATCAGTACAAGTGGGTATGCAGCATCCCCACCAGGAGTTCGGGGAAGTTCCTCTCCTGCCTATAAGGACGAACAACGTGGGTGCGATCCTGGTCATGGTTGGTGTTTCTATCTGGTACGTATGGTACGGTACGTACCAGGTACCAGGTGGTAAGGTATACCGCCTCTGACTGGTGCGGAGAGCGGCGATACCTTATCTCGTACTGATGACCATCCAAATACAGTCATCATTGCTTTTGATTTCTCCTCTGATATCACGGGTGAATCATGTTCGCCCTTGCCTATCTTTCATCTGAATAAGAGATGTAATATGTACCTAGATCGGTGGTGGGATACGACTGCAGTGGCTACCCTGATCGACCACTTGTTCTCCGAGTTGAACCGCCGAGTCTCGGGGTTCGGTGTCGGCGGTACAATAGACGGAGTATTACTGAATGATCCTAGTAAATGTGAGAGGGAACAGTCAAGTTCGATATAATGATAATATTGGAATTTCACTCTGACAGAGAAGTATCTATCCATATATCTATATACTTTCTTATATACTCAGTACCTACCTAGGTACCTACACTAAAGTGTGGTACAAAACAGTATGAAGATGGTATCCTAATACCGGCAAGACAGGCGCATACGGCTTCGAATGGAGATCCATGATCTCTCCATTCATCATCCGAGAGACCTTTTAAGGTACGGGACTAACGCAGTGTCGTATCTGATTGTCATTCTTTTTTTTTTTTTTTGGACTTCTCCTCCTCACTTGTACCTTGACCACCTTTCAACTTTCTCTTTCCTCTTCATTCACCTCTCTCAACAAAAGGAAGAAGGAAGAAAGAACCAAAGAAAAGAAGACTCGGATCTTCAACATAAATGACCGGTGTTTTCTCCACTGGTTCCTCCATGACGCTTCGCATGTGCGCCTTCGCCCTCTCCAACCTTCCTCTGCAGCGCTCCTAGTTTGCCCTGCTTCTTCACCACCTGTCTTTTTCTTCAAACCTTCTCTCCTGATCTCTTCATTCTCCTTCCTCTTAATTCTTCCCCCCTCCTCCTTTATTTCCCTCTCCTTCATCTTCTTATTCTCTGGTCGGTCCTTTCCGTCGATCTTCTCTCCGGTCCCGCCATCCCATAAATTTTCTCCGTCGCGTTCCCTGCATCCCTCCTCTCTCCCCCCCCTACTTGCGCCCACCCTGAAATGGTTCACTCAACGGGGGAAGAACGCGCCGTACACTTGACTCGGGAGGCTATTGAGCTAGTACATGCTGGTCATCGTGAGGTATGCTCGTTTTCCCCTTTCTCCCCCCTCCGTGTCGCCCTCATCGCCACTGACAAGCTCTCTCCGATGTCCCCACAGGCGGCTTCCAGGAATCTTCGAGAAGCTCTCTCTATCGCGCCCGAAAACCCAACCGTCCGAGAGGCCCTTCTCAGCATCCAACAGGAGGAGGACAATGGCCACCACTTGCTAGACCTCTGTCGGCGGTACACCTCCGGCACGGATGAGAATGCCGGCAGGGACGCCGCTCTCTACCTCCGCTCCGATGGTCTCAAACCCCCAGAGGGCGTCGCCTTGGACTGCGCCAAATTACTCCTAGCCCAGAAACCCCCCGCGTTGTCGCCCCTGCAGGATGACATTGTCTCCGGCCTCGTTCGCCAGAACGCCAGTGTACGGCAGTATTTCGCAGACCAGCTGCAGGTCTCCGTCACCACCTTCTTCGACGAGATCTACGACAGAGGCGACGGTGCCGCCGTGTGCCTGGACACGGTTGTGTTGGACCCCGCGGTGTGGCCCTCGGAGGAGACCCGCCTGCACTGCGAGCGCGAGCTGTTCCAGCTGTTCATCGCGAAGCTCATGGAGTCCGGGCACGACCTCGATGGCCGCTCGCTCAAGGGAATCACGCGACTGCTGGCGGTGGACGCGACCAAACTGCAGGATCTGGTGGATGACGAGGGGTTGGACGTCGTGCTGTCGTCCTTGGACCACAGACTCCCTCTAGACCTAAGAAGCCAAGCGACGCTGGCCACCGTCAAGTACCTGGAAGCTGCGGGAAGTGTCGGCGAACAGCGATTCGCTCAGCTCATCTCCGCCAAGCTTTCCAAGAACCGGATCGACGATCTGATCGTGGCGTTTTCGGCCATCGCGGCCGTGTTTCCGGTCGTACCCGACGTTGCGGCCACGCACTTCTTATCCGAGAGCTTCCTCGCGTGTCTGACGCCGCTGGCCGGACGTACCGCCAAGGCTCGCCGGGTCGAGGTCTCGGTCCTGGAATTGCTGAATGCCGCCTGTTTCAACAAGGCGTGTCGCGAGGCCATCTCCAAGAACTTTGCCGACTGGCTGTCCCACACCTTGACGAATGGCAACGATCAGACATCGGAGCTGGCGGCCGTGGTTTTGGCCAAGATTCGGACCTCCGAGAAGAACGATCCGTCGGGGGCAAATGGCAGAGCGTCGGGTGCTGATAACAAGGTCCCGGAGCTGGTGGACCGGTTCAAAGGCCTCATGTCGAAGCGCAAGGGGGACAACGTTCAGAACGTCATCGAAGGGCTCGCCTTTTCCTCGGTCAAGCCCTCCGTCAAGGAGCAGCTGGCCAAAGACTCGGGCTTTTTGCGGGATCTAATCAAGGTTCTGCACGACAACGTCACGGATTCGTCCGTGCTCTATGGAGGGCTGATGATCCTCTTGAACCTCACGCAGTTCCTCCCCACCCTATCCGAAGAACAGCAGAAGATGTCGCAGCTGAAGTCATACGCCGAGGCCTCCCCCGACGCCGGCGGCCCGGATCCCTTGGAAAAGGACGAGGCGGTCATGGCGCGCTGCGGCGCAATCATCAACAGCGGGGTTATGCCTTTGTTTGTGGATTGCTGCAGGACCAGTCTGCCCTCCATCCAGGGTCTGATCAGCAAAATCATGCTTGCTCTGTCCCGAGACCGAAAGACCCGGGGCACCTTGGCCCAGCAGGGAGCCGTCAAACTCCTGCTTAATATGGGCACGCCCCGGCAGGGAAGCACGGGATCCATCTCGAACGAGGCTGTGCAGAACGCATCACACGCGCTGGCGCGGATTCTCATCTCCGTGAACCCGTCGCACGTTTTCCCGGCCTCGGGATTTCCCCAGGTCACGTCGGCGGTGCGACCCCTGGCAGCTATGCTGGCATCCCCAGAGACGACCAGTTTCACAGCCGATCAACCCCGCGATCTCCTACCGGTCTTTGAGAGCCTTCTAGCCCTAACGAACCTTGCGTCCTACCCCGACGAGGCGGCGCCTGACGCCATTGTCCGTCAAGCCTGGCCCATGGTGGAGGATCTCCTACTCTCCAGCAGTCCTATGCTTCAGCGGGCCGCATGCGAGCTGATCTGCAACCTGATGACCTGCGACGCGGGTATCGTGAAGTACGCCGACGGGACGAAGCGATCGGCCCAGCGCCTGCATATCCTGCTGGCTCTGGCCGACTCGGACGACGTTGCCACCCGGCGGGCCGCAGGCGGTGCTCTCGCCATGCTGACCGACTTTGACGCCGCCGTGGCAGCGGTGGTGGACCGACCTCGGGGGGTTCAACTGTTACTGGGCCTCTGTCAGGAAGAAGACGAGGGGCTGGTCCATCGGGGTGTCGCGTGCATACGCAATTTGACCTGCGTCGCATCGGGCGACATTGGCCAACGGGCGAGGGAAGCCGTGAAGAGCAGTGGGGGTGTTGACATCCTCACGGCGGTTCTCAAGAAGACCTCGAATCCCGCCGTACTGCAAATTGGGGTCGAAGCTCTGAAACCATTGGTCGAATAGCTTTTCTCATGATACCTCCTTACCCTACCTCTACGGCTGTTTCCTCCTCTTTCCCTACCTATGCATCGTTCTTTACTTGGTTCTTTCGCAATGACCCCTGATTGATATAGCGATGGTTGTGTTTGTGTTTTACCGGCGTGGGCTATGGTTAAGCTGATACGATACTCCTCCATCTTCTTTCTTTCTTTCCTCTCTTTCTATCTTCATTTTTTATCTTCTTGTTCAATCCGTGTTACAGGCGTTAAATTGTCCTTCGAGAGGCCCGCTTTGTCTTTCTCGTTATTATTAGTATTCATGCGCTTCGGGAATGAGCGTTGGGGCGCTTTGATTTTAATCTTTGTTATCGGGACTGCGTGCGCTTTTGCAGGGTTAGCTAGCTAGATAGATTTAACGAGGTGATACGCTATTCTTCTTTTTCTTTTTCTTCATTCTTTTTTTCTTCCCGTAATGATCATCACTCGTAATTGATAACCAGGCATAGATCTACGATCCCATGATCAAGCCACCAACCAATTAGCCATTGACAAATCAATCAATCAATGGATCTCTCATCCCAAATCAGCCAGCCACGGTATGTAGTCAGTCACAGGACAACCCACCTGATCAGTACCTATATTGAAGCAAAGTGGGGGGTGGGGAAGGAAATGGGGGCATGGAATGTAGCAGCTACTGATTGGGTAAGATAACCTGCTGTTTCACTATAGTTATACCGTGGTATATAGGTAGACCTTGCATTGCTTATGCTACTTCGTATTCAAAGTGGAAGGCACCCTAGTTTCTAGACTCATGAACCGCGTAGGTGTTTGAATACCTGGGTGTACAGTATATGCTGGCTGGCAGATGAGGGCAATTATAAATGTACAGGATGTTGTACGATGATATAATCTAAAGGTCTAGGCCCCACTGAGGGATCGCACTTCCGATGCTCTCTTCAACAAGATGGGCTTGTGGTTTAGTGGTATAATACTCGCTTAGCATGTGAGTGGTCCGGGGTTCGATTCCCCGCGAGTCCATATTTTTTGCTTTTCTTTCCTTCACATACAATGTGGTTTTTTTCTTTTTTTTTTTTTTTTTTTTGGCAAGACTATTCAAAGCACTGTTGTTTCTTTTTGCATACGCCTAATGGTGGCACAATACACTGTACAATTCATTAACTACATACGTGTCTCCACTGGGGTAAGATATACGGGGGAGGCGGAATAAGCACTAGAACACATACTTTAATCCAGGATGGCAGGATCATGTACACTATACGCTAGGGCAACCTGCAGGATCCCCAGTGCATAATGCATAGTTAGTTAATAGTCACGCCCTGTTTTACTCTCCCTGTATTACGGCAGTGGGCGGGTGCCTTTTCCTATACCAATTGCTGTTCGCCCGAGACATACAATGGTTCATGATATACTAGGTAGGTAGTAAACTGAATAAAAAGTGATACTGACAGACTCATTGACTATACTTCCCGACCAAGCCAAGCAAAAATTAAGTTAAGCTACACCCTTGAACAAGTAATGGGTAGGTTAAAGTTCAAAAGTCAAAAAGCAAAAAGTATGGACTCGCGGGGAATCGAACCCCGGACCACTCACATGCTAAGCGAGTATTATACCACTAAACCACAAGCCCATCTTGATATCTGATAGGATTCTTAATTGTTTTAGGTGGGAGGGGCTTTCAGTCTGCTATGATCTCCGCGTTGCTGTCCCTGTGATGATATTGTATACTACGTACCTAGGTGTTGATTCTCATAGCTTCAACAGTTGTGTGCTTGCTATTACCTGGTACTTGAACTGGACATCTGTAATGGCCTTTATTATAGGCCTGATACTTGAATGGCTGTTTGTTCTATCCGTTGATCGTTATGGTCGCATGTTCGGGTCAATATATATATCTTTCTATAGTACGGTATTGAAATTATTCTAGCAAACCAGGATATATCAACCACACTGAGCAATGTATAACTACCAACAGTCCAATGGACAGGAAGATTATATTTTTCTTACCCCTAAACTCTGTCCTATCCGAAAACACTACAAATAGTCTATGCTATACAGAATATACGTAGCCCAATAACTGCGGGAGAATGCTGATGGAAAAAATCAAATATTGATAATCTTTGACATTCTCCAAAGTCATTGTTACACCCATTAAATACCGCAAAAGCCACGAAGATTCTGGAAAAAGCTCTGTAAACCAGCTGACTTTGGCTGATTACTCTTGCATGGTCCTCCATAGACCTGCCTATAGTTATTCCGGGCATACTATCCAATACAACCGAACGCACATGTTAATATCAGGAACTCACGATGTCGCTAGGTACCTAATCGAAATTAACATACCATGGTATAATGCTTACTGGTCCTTGGCACAAATTGCCCCTTAAGCGTATGTTATGTCATGTACTATCTTCATGGTATAGTACCTAGGACTGCTGTCCTCCCCAGAAAAGCCAATGTTACAGAGGCTACCCACGGTGGGTATAGGTATTTGGCAGTGACTGCAACCATGAAAAAAAAGAAATCGAAGCAATATCAACGTGTCTACCTGAATAATAAAAAAAGAGTCATTGCTTAAAAGGTAAAAAATGGACTCGCGGGGAATCGAACCCCGGACCACTCACATGCTAAGCGAGTATTATACCACTAAACCACAAGCCCATCTATATTGTACCAGCTCAGAGCTATGATATATAGTCCAAGTAGGTATTTCCCTACCCGCTTACCAACGGAACCATATGACCTCATAACCGGCCTACTGCCCACCACCTTAATATCAACGACAAGACGAAAAACCAAGACAGTAAGCCACCGACGCTCGTGGCACACCACAGCATCCACAAAAGGCTCCTGGCTTCAAGTAGCCAATGATGTCATTCCCGTGGGGGACGACCCCGGTGGCTCACCCGCCGCGTCCCTAGACCAGGGCGAACAAACCCGCCGATAGGGCGATGACCATGGCATGGGACCCGTCGGGTAAGCAAGGGGCCGCCTATCCAAGGGACGACATATGCCGGACGATGCAAGAGGTAGCACTTACACTTTGGATGCATGCGCGCCTGAATCCTAACAGTCTGTCGGAGGGTTGCAGTCGAGCTTCGCATCACCACTGGCCAAGCCCACCGAGGCCCACCGCACTCTGCAGAGCCAAGCTGATTCGATCTCCGCAAAGCTTGGGTCCAAGGCCTCGAATTGGCCCGGCGGGGAGATTGGCTGGGCGTGCTGGGCGTGGATGTGTGAGTCTCCACGGGTCCCCTCTTACCGTGTTCTACGTTGTCATCGGCTGCGCGGCACATGGAAGGGAATGACCATCCTTTGGTCTTGGTATTCTTCGTTGATTATTTATAGTTGGACAAACTCCGAGAGCCCCGACCGCCTGGTCTCATCTCCCGTGCAGCTGGTTGTGGCACTGTATCTTGGTATATACTACTTTGTTATACTTCATACACTATACATATCGTTCTTCCAACATCAAGTACGGGGGCAGATTGTCTGTCACCTGACTGAAATTCCCTGCGACTTTCCCGTCTACCCCTGATCTTCTCGTTCTAGGTTAAGAGATCGGGCCCTCCAGGTGTGGTGATACTAGCAGGTACTAAGCCACTAGTAGGTACGGGGTGGGTAGTTTATTAGGTAGGGCTTAGCGACCCCTCGTATGGAGACTGGGGATGGAGTCCATACTAATTGTTAGGTACTTTACATACCTCCCTCTCAAACATCTCCGTAATCCGTCGTAAGGAGGGCAGTTTGATTACGTGTCACTCCTCCGTCTGGCATCTTCAAGCAGAGCGGGGCAATCAGAGCGAATCCGCCGCGCACGCCGAGCGTTGGTTCGCGATTCCACGGGTTCCGCCCCTGGACGGAACAGACCTTGTGCCGCCACTCGCGCTTCTGACTCGTCCATTCTCTCCCTAACTTCTTCCCTGTAAGTTCACCTCATACTTCACGGCTCAGTTGCCTCGCAATTGAGCTATATCCTTCAACCCTCGTTGCCAGTTGATGATCGTCCCGGTCTAATTCCATGCTGATCCATTGACGTTCTTTTGATGACGGAATCAACCCCATCCAGTCATCCGTGACGATCTGCATCCATTCTCTCAACTCAGCTAAAAAGTACTTCCTTCATCCATCTAGTCCTCCTGGCTTTCAACCTCCCCACACCGCTTCTTCTTCTATTTCTTTCTACGATTTACTACGCTGTATCGACTGGACAATCCTGTGTCGCACGTGTTTTCCAGTGCGCAGACCTTCTGTGGGACTCAACCGCCTTTATAGGTCCTCACCTACCGAGTATATCCCTCCCATTGTTATCCTGTCGTATTTGTTACCCCCTGTCTTTGTTTGGGTCTGCAGATCCACCATCCTCTCTTAAACTGCGCATCTTGGGCTTCTTGCTTCCTCTCCTTCTTCTCTCCCTCACCTCTCCCTTCTTTTACCAAAATAGCGAACATGAACACCTCTGATCTCGCGGTTCGTCGGTAGACTGACATATGACGCCATGTTATCCTAAAGTTCCTGATCTCCTTTCGCATTTGCCTCCGATCCAAATCAATTTTCCCCACCTACCGATTGCTTGCCCTCCAAGCTTCAAGACTTGAAGTCAAACCGTACATATTTGTTCTCCGTGCATTGTTATTGGAATAAGCGTTTGTTCTGCAACAATCGCGGTCCCTGCAACATGAAATTCGGCCACAATCTGTCCCGGAATGTGGTCCCCGAGTGGAGCTCTTCCTACATCAGGTACAAGCCTTTGAAAAAGCTTATCAAGTCCGCAGCCGACAATGTGAAGGCGGGCCAAGAGCCGGACCTTGCCGGTGAGATATCATCCGATTCCTTGGCGGGCTGAGATCCTGGGGCCGTCCTCCTGACGCAATCCCCTAGGCTTTTTCTATTCCCTCGATCGAAACCTCGAGGACGTCGGCTATTTCTACAATAAGAAATATGCCGACTTTTCCCGCCGTCTCAAGCTGCTGGAAGATCGCTATGGCCCACCCCTGGAGAACGGCCAGCGCATCGACCCGGAGGACGCGGAGGACCTCCTCGCCGCGATGCTAGAACTGCGCGGTCAATTGCGGAAACTACAGTGGTACGGCGAAGTCAACCGCCGTGGGTTCATCAAGATCACCAAGAAGCTAGATAAGAAGTTGGGCACGCAGGCCCAAAAGACGTATCTGGAAACCAAAGTGGATCCGTTACCCTTCGTCTCGAACGCTAAGGTTTCCGAGGCGTTGAAGAAGATCAATGATAGGCTGTCCGTTTTGGGCGAACAGAAGGCCTCCGAGGATGCCAGCTCCAGGCGCTCGTCGCTGTCCCTGAAGCGAGGTCCCGCTCGCCCGAACCTGAACCTGCCACAGAGCATGCTGCTCGAGGTTGATGAAGCCTTGCGCAAAGATGACACTCATGTTTTGCTAGAGCTCCTGGAGACTCTCAAGACCGCCGCGGAGAATGCTGGGGAAGGGGTTTACGCCCAGGTCCTCAAGAGCCTCCTCCAGCGGTCGATCCATTATCGGTCCAAGCCCTGCGTTTCCGCACTGCTTCCGCGGATCGATTCGCTTGACGAAGACGACGATATCAACAGGCGCAATTGCTTACATCGCCTGATCATCTCCATAGGCCGTTCGCAATCCACCACCGACTCCGAAGAATCCGCGTCGATGGTCCTCGACCTCCCTCTGGAGACAGCGAACTTCATCACCCCGGCTGCGTTGCCCACCCTGCAACCACCCCGCCTGGTCGTCAAAGAGTCAGACCTCCCCCAGCAGCTAAACCGCGCCGACCCGTCGGTTTCGCTTCTGCAGCACATCCTGGACCAACTTCGCCCTGAACAGCGGAACGCCCTTTTGGCAAAGGATATCGCCGGTCGAACTCCACTCCACTACGCGGCCCAGTATGGATTCCGGGCTGTTTGCGAGGTCATCATTGAGCACCTCCAGGCATGGGGAATGTTTGATGTCCGCGTCGGCATTGATTCGGCCTCCTGGCAGGACAGTGATGGATGGGCTCCTTTGCATTTGAGTGTCGTGGGTGGTCACCCGCTGACGACTCGCACCCTTTTGGACGCGGAGCGCTCGCAGGATCCCAACCAGGACGAGCAGGTGCACCGAAAACGCTCTTCCCGGTCCAGTGCAGTGCTTGCGATGGCCGTTAAAGCGAATTTCGTCGATATCGTCCATCTACTGGTCGACGCTGGAGTCGACATCAATTACCAGGATGAGCAGGGGGAGACTGCGTTGCACATGGCAGCTCGCTTCGGACACGACCAGTGTGCCAAGATTCTGCTCGAAGGCAACGACGAGCAAAAGGCGGATACGGAGCTGGCGGAGAATACGTATTCCTGGACTCCCTTGTTCGTTGCCTGCGTTGATGGGGCCTTGGGTGTGGTGGAGTTGCTCATTGAAGCCGGGGCTGACCTGGTGAGGTCGGATTCCTCCGGATGGACGGCGAAGGAGCATGCCGCCCTGAGAGGCCATCTCGCTATTGCGCGACGTCTCGCGGAGGTCACTCCGGCGCCTGAAGTTAGCGAGGCTGAGCCTGCGAATCCTGTCTCTACGGCGTCGTCCGTTCCTGCGTCACCCCCGACGCAGTCTTCTCTCGCCGAGAGGCGATCAGACGGCGCCACATCGCAGGCGAGTTCTGGGTCACGGGAGCTTGAGCCGATCAAGTCATTTGGACACCGGTATCTCACCGACGAATCGATGATCTTGGTCAGCCTGGGGACTATGGACATACGGAAGGATATGGAAACGGTGAGCCTCGATCGCATCCCCATGGAGAACGCCCATTCCACCCAGCTGGATACCGCACTGTCCTTGGTTGTCTCTGCGAATGGCGCTCACGGCGAGCCGGAGACCATCGACCTTCCCGTTCAGGACCACATCTCAACGGAGCCGATGGTCTTCCACTCTACCGATCCGACCAAGGTCCGGCTCCTTTTTGACTTGATCCCAACCTACGCCGGGACGAAGGACCAGATTGTGGGGCGTGGTGTTGCTTTGCTCTCCAGCATCAAGCCCACCGTAGGTTCTCACCGTATCAACCTAAAGGGTGACTCGACGGTGCCGATCATTGCGGCAAACACCCTGGAGGTGATTGGCACGGTGACCTTCAATTTCCTTGTCATCACGCCATTCAAGCACCCCAACATGTCAATCACTGGAGACCGGACCTACTGGAAGATGAACTCGACCATGGTCATTGGGCACAGGGGCCTGGGCAAGAACATGGCCTCCCGCAACTCCTTGCAGCTCGGCGAAAACACGATCCAGTCGTTCGTTGCCGCTGCCAACCTGGGCGCATCCTACGTCGAATTCGACGTTCAGCTGACCAAGGACCACGTGCCGGTGATCTATCACGATTTCCTCGTCAGTGAAACTGGTATTGATGCTCCAGTCCACGCCCTGACGTTGGAACAATTCCTTCAACTCGGAGCGAAAGGCCCACACCGCCGACCCATATCCCCGTCGCAGTGCAGCGATACCTCGGACGGATCCGGAGGGAACCCCGGACTTCGCCAGCGGTCCATGTCTGTTGGTGGATCCGAGTATGACCCCTCGGAGCTGAACGAGAAGATCAAGCACACGCGTGATTTCAAGAAGAAGGGGTTCAAGGGCAACAGCCGTGGCAACCACATCCAAGCGCCTTTTGCAACCTTGGGAGAGTTGTTCGAGAAGCTACCCAGCTCAGTTGGGTTCAATATTGAACTGAGTGAGTATACCTAAGAAAAAACGTCTAGAAGACAATCTAACAGGCCACTAGAATACCCGATGCTCTACGAGGTTGAAAACGAAGACATGGATACCTACGCGGTGGAATTGAACTCCTACGTGGATACTGTCCTCAACAAGGTGTACGATATGGGACAGGACCGCCGCATGATCTTTTCTAGTTTCAACCCGGATATCTGCCTGTTGCTTTCGTTCAAGCAGCCGTCCATCCCGGTCCTTTTCTTGACCGACTCTGGCGCCAGCCCCGCTGGCGATGTCCGCGCCGGCAGCCTCCAGGAAGGCATTCGCTTCGCTTCCCGATGGAACCTGCTGGGCGTTGTTTCGCAGGCGGAGCCGCTGGTCCTGTGCCCTCGGTTGGTGCGAGTGGTCAAGGAGTCGGGGCTAGTCTGTGTGACTTACGGGGTGCTCAACAACGACCCTGCCAATGTCAAGGTAAGCGCGTCTCAGTTTTATGATTGTTGTCTGTTGCCTAACATCTACTTCAGCTCCAAGTTGCCGAAGGTATCGACGCCGTCATCGTGGATTCTGTCCTCGGCATTCGAAAGGGTCTCACGGAGCATGAGAACGGTGAAACACCGGAGTTCTCGCCGCAGCCCAGCCCGTACTCGCAGCCCGCTTCTGGTGGCCTCCAAGAGACGACACAGATTCCTGTTCTTTCTACCTAGACGGAGCACAATATATCTCATCTTCACGAGTTAGACTTTTGGTTTTCTGTGCTTGGACTTTCCCAAATCCAATCACTATCTTGAGTTTAACATCGCTGTGATACATTGAATATCTATGTTTAGACAGACGTATACTATTTGATCTTCGTATACCGTTTTGTTGGATAGCCGTGTATGTGTATGGCTCGAGTTCTAAAGCATGATTGTCGCAAGACCCTGCGGGATTCACAGCCCAAGCAATATGTACAATTTCCCGAATACTAATTCAAGATCAAAGACCCCCAAAAAAGTACCAGACTAGAGAATGGCAAATCGTAATGTAGCAAGTGTATTCCCATAATGGTGACGGTGACAACCGGCAACGGTCACGTGTGGAGGTGCATAACGGTTGGCCGATCTCTCGCTCCAGACTCGTATAGCTTCTCCGAGCTGCATTACTGCTTCACTTCTAATTTTCTCGGCTGCTCTTCGGCCATCCCTGTTCGCAGCTGCTGGGAAAGGCCAACGAATACTTTCTTTCTGACAATCTATTCTTAATCGTCACCTCCCAGACCTGACCAGCCGAGAGGGCTTAGCTGCTCATCTCAACCGGAGCCACTCACACGCTCCAGCAGAATCTACCGCGGAGTCCTGCAACCCATGATGCTATGACCTACCAACCACTCGAACCCACCCATTCTACCCACTTCCCATCGCTATAACCTATGTTCTACCCTCCTCAAACCTCTTCATCTTAAGAAGCCCCCCACCATAGAGCCCAGCTCTCCCAACCAACCGCGAAGAATGAACGCCGTAGATGCGACAGAGCACTACGAAACCAGCGCACGCGGTACATACCCCCAACCCACTCTACCAACCTCACCGTCCTATCTTTATAAAAAAACAAGTAACTAACCATCCTTCTACAAAAAGATCCAGCCCCCGCCCTCCTAACCGTAATCCTCGACACAAATCCGCGCGCCTGGGCCCTCCTCGAAGACTCCCTCCCCCTCTCCCAAGCAATAGCCAACATCCTCGTCTTCCTCAACGCCCACCTAGCCTGCAACTACGCCAACGAAGTCGCCGTCGTCGCATCGCACAACCAAAAAGCCACCTGGTTGTATCCATCGGGTCAGCACAACCCGACCCCCCAACCCAGCGATGGCACGACCGACAGAGACGGGGACGTCGCCATGAACGGGCCCGGGCCCGACGGCAGCAGCAGCAACAAGGCACCGAACCCCGAGAATGGCACCACCGGCACAGAAATGAACAAGTACCGCCCCTTCCGCATCGTCGAAGAACAAGTCACCCAGAACCTGCGGCACCTGCTCGAATCCACCACCGGCGCCGACGTGCAAGCCACGTCCTCGACGATGATGGCCGGCGCCCTCACCCTAGCACTCAGCCACATCAACCGGCGCACAATCGTCTGGAACGAAGCCCACGGCGGCGATACATCCGGCCCGACAGGCAGCGGCGACCGCCCCGGCGGCAGCGG